CTGTCATTAAAAGATCAGATACAGGTCACATAGGGGCCAAAAAATCGGATTTGGGTCACTTCAGGCTGCAGTCTGAACGCAGCCTAATCGCGTCTTCAGTGTCACTTACAGGGACCTGGTTGGAAATGTGTACAATTACTTTTTTTTTTTTTCTTTTTGACATCTTTAGTTTTATTTTTTTAATTAAGTTTGACAAATTATAATACACAAATGAATAGCCAATGTACAAAACTTTTTCCTCTTAAAATGCTACTTTTTCCTATTAAAATGCTACTTCTTCCTTTTAAAATGCTACTTCTTCCTCTTAAAATGCTACTTTTTTATCGTAAAATGCTACTTCTTCCTCTTCTATGCTATCTTCTTTCTATCTCCTCTTAAAATGCTACTTCTTCTTCTTATTGCTACTTCTTCCTCTTAAAATAATACTTTTTCCTCTTAAAATGCTACTTCTTCCTCTTCTTGTAGTCTGCATTGAAATTAAGCAAAGGATCGTGGTCTATGTAGTTCCCTCTTTTGTTTAAATTTTCAGTTCAATTCATGTTTATTTATACAGCACAGGGAGAAGAGGTGAGTTTTTAGTCTAGTCTTAACTCTTTCCCCCATGAAGATGACATTCGACGACCCCCCTTGTTTCCTTAATGACGTGTTTTGACACCTCCGCTGTATCACTAAAGATGAAATTTGAAACGGTTCCTGTTTTTCACATGTAAACAGAGGCTGCGATAGGTGGGGGCCACTATAACTCATACTAGGCTGAGCAATAGGATTCAAGGAAACGTTTTTGGCAATTTTTTACAAAGTTAATCAAAGTAGTGATGATTTTAGCTTCCGGAAATGAGGAGCGGACTTAATTTATGGATAACTTTGGAGAAAGTTATTTTTATACTGTTTCAGGTGATATGAAATCTGTTTAAACCCTTTGACAAATATATACATATATATATATATATATATATATATATTATATTATTTTTTTTAGGAATATAGTTGTCACTTCAGGCTGCAGTCTGAACGCAGCCTAATCGCGTCTTCAGTGTCACTTACAGGGACCTGGTTGGAAATGTGTACAATTACTATTTTTATTTATTTTTTTGACATCTTTAGTTTTATTTTTTTAATTAAGTTCGACAAATTATAATACACAAATGAATAGCCAATGTACAAAAGGGAAAAAGAAAGAATACAGTGGCATCTAGATGAAGAAATCCGTGACATTTTCTCAGTTTTCTTGGATTTCATCAAAGTTTCCGCTTTTGTTCCGTAAACATAGAGCCCATTTGGAAGCTGAGATCTGAGTCAGCAAATTTTTCAACACGTCCAATATCAATATCCAATCAGTGCATCCCTGATTGTGACTCCTTTTTCCTCGTGCTAGTGTGGAATTTTTGGTTGTTTATTTCTCCGTACTATGTTATGATTTGAGCTGTAGATGTTTGTATAATGGTTGTTGCTTCGGAAACGGTTTTGATTGGGAAAATTATCACTCAAAACAAATGATCTACTCGCAAAGTGTCTATCAGTGTTGTCCGGAAAACCACGTAGATTATATACAATGACTCTTCTTTCTGCTCCGTTTCAGTCATTTCTTGTATGTTTAATGTTATGACACAGTTTAAGTACAAAAATAAAATAAAACAAACTCCTCTCGTGTTTCATTCTGCTGTTTATTTCTTTGCAGCTCATGTTTCCTCTAAAAGGTCTTTAGTGTTATGATGATTACATGAGTTTCAATATTATTATATCTAAGGGATGTAACGATAAATCTCTCGGTACGATATTTTCACGATATTTATCTCACTGTAGGTACGATATTTATTGTGATATTTTATGGAGGCTTACAAAACTGTGAATATGCTGCTTTTACCTCTTAAAATGCTACTTCTACCTCTTAAAATGCAACTTTTTCCTCTTAATATGCTACTTTTTCCTCTTAATATGCTACTTTTTCCTCTTAAAATACTACTTTTTCCTCTTAAAATACTACTACTTCCTCTTAAAATGCTACTTTTTCCTCTTAAAATGCTACTTCTTCCTTTTAAAATGCTACTTTTTCCTCTTAAAATGCTACTTTTTCCTCTTAAAATGCTACTTTTCCTCTTAAAATACTACTTCCTCTTAAAATGCTACTTTTTTCCTTTTAAAATACTACTTCTTCCTCTTAAAATACTACTTCTTCCTCTTAAAATACTACTTTTTCCTATTAAAATGCTACTTCTTCCTTTTAAAATGCTACTTTTTCCTCTTAATATGCTACTTTTTCCTCTTAAAATGCTACTTTTTCCTCTTAAAATGCTACTTCTTCCTCTTAAAATGCTACTTCTTCCTCTTAAAATACTACTTTTTCCTCTTAAAATGCTACTTTTTCCTATTAAAATGCTACTTCTTCCTTTTAAAATACAACTTTTTCCTCTTAAAATGCTACTTTTTCCTCTTAAAATGCTACTTCTTCCTTTTAAAATGCTACTTTTTCCTCTTAATATGCTACTTTTTCCTCTTAAAATGCTACTTTTTCCTCTTAAAATACTACTACTTCCTCTTAAAATGCTACTTTTTCCTCTTAAAATGCTACTTCTTCCTTTTAAAATGCTACTTTTTCCTCTTAATATGCTACTTTTTCCTCTTAAAATGCTACTTTTTCCTCTTAAAATACTACTTTTTCCTCTTAAAATACTACTTCCTCTTAAAATGCTACTTTTTCCTCTTAAAATGCTACTTTTAAAATCTACTCTTAATATGCTACTTTTTCCTCTTAAAATGCTACTTTTTCCTCTTAAAATACTACTTCCTCTTAAAATACTACTTCCTCTTAAAATGCTACTTTTTCCTCTTAAAATGCTACTTCTTCCTCTTAAAATGCCACTTTTTCCTCGTAAAATGCTACTTCTTCCTCTTAATATGCTACTTCTTCCTCTTAAAATAATACTTTTTCCTCTTAAAATGCTACTTCTTCCTCTTCTTGTAGTCTGCACTGAAATGAAGCAAAGGATCGTGGTCTATGTAGTTCCCTCTTTTGTTTAAATTTTCAGTTCAGTTCATGTTTATTTATACAGCACAGGGAGAAGAGGTGAGTTTTTAGTCTAGTCTTAACTCTTTCCCCCATGAAGATGACATTCGACGACCCCCCTTGTTTCCTTAATGACGTGTTTTGACACCTCCGCTGTATCACTAAAGATGAAATTTGAAACGGTTCCTGTTTTTCACATGTAAACAGAGGCTGCGATAGGTGGGGGCCACTATAACTCATACTAGGCTGAGCAATAGGATTCAAGGAAACGTTTTTGGCAATTTTTTACAAAGTTAATCGAAGTAGTGATGATTTTAGCTTCCGGAAATGAGGAGCAGACTTAATTTATGGATAACTTTGGAGAAAGTTATTTTTATACTGTTTCAGGTGATATGAAATCTGTTTAAACCCTTTGACAAATATTTACATATATACATATATATATATATATATATATATATATTTTTTTTTTTTATTTATTTTTTTTTTTTAGGAATATAGTTGTCACGCCCCTGCCTGTCCTGAGTCTTCTGTGTGTGGATGTGGGCGGAGTCTGCTGGGAGCACCTGCACACCATCTGCAATCAAGTCTGCTACAAAGGCCCAGCTCTCCTGCCAGACTCTGCCAGATTGTTTCGTCTACCTGACGTTCCCGCCATTGAAGACTCCTGCATCCCGGCTGCTGGCTCCTCATCTCTCCACCGCCTATCCTCCCTGGTTAATAAACCCTACTTTTGCATTTTTGTCCCTGTTTGAGTCATTTTTTGTGGTCTACCCCTGTGGTGCCTAACAATAGTACTCAGAACATGCAAATATCAGATGCTGAATGTAATTTTTTGTTTTCGATTTTGCACCTGACCAGGTAAACTCTCATTTTCAGTGAGCTGTTATGAACCTGTAAATGAGTTGAATCACATTTGAACATCCATAAAATAGTTCAAAGTCTAAGGTTTCTAGAAATACCAAATATGTGTGTGTTTCAGTTAAGTTTGTGAGTGTGAAAATCATTTATAATCACCGGTAGAAGTCTGTTTTCTTTTATGCCCTAGTAATACATGTTATGGGTTGAGTCCAAGGGGGAAAGAATTAAACTGTGTTACAAACTCAGAGGATCTGACAGGAAGAGAGGTTGTTCCACGGTCCGGGCACTGGCACGGGAAAGGCTCCATCACCTCTCATCTTGAGCCTGTTTTGACCAACAGGAGCTGGTCGGCTGATCTCAGGGCTGCAGTGATTCCCTCAGCTAGACTGGACCCATAGAGTGTAAACATCTGAACACAATCAATGTAGCTACTGCTGTGCCATAAACATTAATTTAAGCGAAGAGACTTGTAATAATATATTATAGTGAGACCTTTGATGATACAATACCTACGGTTATATCCCTTTTGTATATTGTAGCTGTATCTTCTTGAGGCTTCAGATTGTGCGATGGTGACAGACCTACTGGTGGTTTTCAGATTCTGTGATGGTGTCATCCTCATTCTTCCCTATTGTTTACACTGTACTTTGCCCTGAAATATCTATAAGGTAAATTCACAAATAAATAGATGTAGTTGGAGCATTCGCTGGATCACCACCAAAGTGAAATAATAATCAGGTGCTCCTCGGAGATCCCGAGTGGGCAAATAACTGACTGGATGAAAGAGGAAATCCAAGGCTCTCCGATACACTTTGCTATTGTGTACTGGTGGTATTTAAAGTCACATGATGACACCGATATGTGACAAATCACCCATACAACCATATAAACATAAACAAAGTGAAGCATCACAGTAATATTATGAGTATGTTCCAATGCACAAATGTTGAACCTCATTATTTCTATCAGTGTCTAGACCCACAAACTCAGCTATTTACAACTGAAATCTGCAACAATATTAACAATATTAATTATTGTTGCCCCACGTCTGTATTAAATATTATTGGTCTATAAAACACTATGACGTCATCTGAAATCCAGTAGTAAGTGTCTGATTTCCATTTACGAGTGTTACCTTTGTAGATGGTCATGTCCATCCAGCCCAGGCCTTCCTGCTGGTATCCGTTCATGTCGTGGGTGAAGGGGTACCCGGCCTGCTGCCCGGCCTCGATGAAGGCCGCGTGAAGAGGGTGCTGTGTCTTACCCCTGGACACTTTCAATGGACCACTGCCTCCGCGGTACCTGGTATTACAACCAAAGACTGTATAAACAAGAGACTAAAGAAGAGCGACCACAGACAGACTGCAGCAGTCAACAGAACACCAGCAGAACCAGCATTTTATCATCAAAACATCCTCTGCCCAAATTCGGCACTGAGGAGAATACAGGCAATTATAATGTAATTAATACTATATATATATATATATATAATATAATATATATATATATTATATATATATATATATATATATATATATATATATATATATATATATATATATAAAATGAAATTACTTTATATATATATGTGTGTATAGATATATTAGATTAACAAATTTTCAGTTCCTTCAAAATAAATTCTTATTAAATGGTAGGGATAAACAATTTAAGAAAAATAACAAATAGCAATGAACCTGTTTACACCAGATTGATCTGTGTGTCATTCTGAATGGAGCTCTACACATTTATCAATCTGGATTAGCTTTCGTGAGTCTCATTTTATGAGTCATATGATTCCATCTAAAGATTGCAGATCACATTTACACTGGCACTAAACCAAACAGCTGCAGGCACTGCTGCTGCGGTCACTTCCCACATGAACACACATAACCTCTACAACACTCACTCATGCATAAAGGGAAAAACTGGAACAAAAATAAACCAGCTTCATGTCTAGACTTAAGTGCACTTTGTAACTGTCCTGGAGTGGCTCCATAATCTGTTTGTCTCTATGGAGATGTTGATGCTTTGGCTTAAATCAGGAGTGAACTCAAATTCACAGAGGCCAAAATTTAAAACTGGGATTAAGTCGTGGGCCAAATTAAATATTTATTGAAAAATTTCAACAACATCTGCAGGTTTTCTCTTCTTTCGAGATGTGTAATCTTAAACCTTTTCTAATTCAAATAAATGTTTAATAATAGTTTTGCTTAATCATTGAATCCAGAAGAAGTATAATATAAAATAATAACACAATTTTAAATAAATAATGTCTCTATAGTCTCTCTGTAGCTGGCAGGCAGCTCTAATACATATTTGATATGATCTCGCGGGCCAAATATAATTATATCGTGGGCCAAATTTGGCCCCCGTGGCCTGAGTTTGACATGTCTGGCTTAAATGTTCCAGTATGGCATTAAACTAATCTGTTTTACGTATATTCAACTACAAGTGTTATTTATTGCTCAATAATATCTTAAAAACTTGAATTTTTACTGTGAGTGGAGTCTCCTCTCCACAAATCTAACCTGTAATTTGGCTTGCAAGTCATACTAAGCACATCTCCACAACTGATATTAAACCATAAATAAATCCAAATATTCTGGAAAAACTACCATGGAAAAGTTGGCTCTTCCTAAACCACATATAGTAAAATTAAAATACTAAATAAAAAAATTATTTTGTGTTGAAATTATATCAAGCTTTGTACAAATATATTTGTGATATCAAACTTAGTATAGAAGATCAGGTCTCATAATGGAGTTTGTAAGTTTGGAGTCTGGAATGTTTCACAGTATGGCATTAAACCTTTCTATCTTCATGGAGTCCAAACCAAACCAAGTTACAGGTCAGATCTGTGAAGAGGCAACCCTGATTGTCTGTTGACTCACAGTCAGAATGCCTTATGAATGTTTTTCTAGGAACTATAAAACCACCTGTAATTTAATACATGTCAGGTAGAGTTTTTCATACTGTGGAAGTTTCAGACAAACCAATGACAAATCCACACTAACAAGCAGGTGACGTCCAACAGAAAAGTTGCACAATGCACGTTTAAAGGTTCACCTTAACCTGATTTGTGATAATTCAGCAAAATATCTCCAGGACATTCACAATGATTCAAAACAAAATGAGTCAGCCTTAATGACACAGCACTGAAGCAGGTTTCACCCTAAATCTAAAAAAACATGATTACGACACTGGGTCCAGTACAGACATGGGACGACCGAAATTTGATGTCACGATTATCACTGCCTAAATTATTGCGATTAACGATAATATCATGATCTTTATTGAAGCTGCTGACAGTTCGACATGTTTTTAGATATGAATAATTATCATTTTAACTGAAAACACATATGATCTAGCAGATAACTTGTTTTTTTCAACAATTCTGGTGATAAAATGACTATTATTTTTGTTGGTGATTATTACAATTATATAAAATGTACCACAAAAGATTACAGTCTACCCTTTTTTATCATGTTCTGGTAAAAGCAGTTTGATCTTGTTCCTTGTTCCACACAGAGGATCTATTGTGTGAAGAGAAATTGAAGTACTGCCAAAGATCTGTGCAATTTCAGATAATCCAAGCCACAAAAGGCAGTTCTTTGGTAATGGAAACTATAGACTATGACTAATCTAATCATACTCACTCCGCTGTGATGTCAAGTTAACAGCGAAGTTTTAACTCAGACACGTCAGACTCAGGCCCAGGGGCCAAATTCGGCCCAGGATATAATTATATATAATTAATTAATTATATTTTATTAATATAATAATAGAGCTGCCCGCCAGCTACAGAGACATTATTTATTTGAAATTTTGTTATTATTTTATATTTGGCTTCTGGATTCAATGTTTAAGCAAAACTATTATTAAACATTTATTTTAATAAGAAAAGGTTTAACATTACATATCTTGAAAGAAAAGAAAACATGCAGATGTTGTTGAAATTTTTCAATAAATATTTAATTTGGCCCATGACTTAAATTTTTAATTTAAGTTTTTAATTTTGGCCTCTGAATTTGAGTTTGACACCTGTTTTAACTTTTGTTCAGTATAGAGCTTGGCAGTTCCAGGGCTGAAATAATCAAAATGATTCTAGTGAAGGTGTATGGAATTTAAAAATGAAAATAGAATAAAACAAACCACAAGAGTATGTTTGTGATGAGGAAACAACATTATAACAGAAATCAGAAAATATAGTTATACAGACCCTTTAATTATTTTCAGTCATTTAGTGCAGTGACTGTGTTTAGTTGAATAATATATTTATTCATTAAATAATGTGAATTAATCATTGCATTTATATAGCGCCTTTCAAGATATCCAAAGTCCTTCACAGTTCATTATTCGTTCACTCAACACTCGTGGTGGTAAGATACTACTGTCGCCACAGCTGTCCTGGGGCAGACTGACGGAAGCGAGGCTGTCAATCTGCACCACCGGCCCCTCCGACCACCACCAACACTCACACACACACCACTTTCATACTAGGCCATGAGATTGAAGTGTCTTGCCTAAGGACACAATGACAGTGTTTGCCACTGGCGCTCCCCTGTGGCTCCTGATTCTCCCAGTGTCTCCATCCAAGTCCTGACCAGGCCCGACTCTGATGAGCTTCTGAGATCTGTCGGGATCAGGCTTGACTGAATGCACAATTGTACAATTACAAATTTAGGCTAAACTGAAAACATTCTGATCTGAATGGTGATAATGATGATCTAAACCCCAGCGCCTGTAGCCATCATGAATCAGAGCTAGTGCAGCCTCTGTAGCTCAGGGAGGGAATTCTGGAGGCTCTGAGCATTAATTAGTAATTACCATATTTTTCAGACTATAAGCTGCTCTGGAGTATAACTCACACCAGCCAAAAAATGCATAATGAAGAAGAAAAAAAGTCGCACTTTTGGGGGAAATTCATTTTACAAAATCAGAGACCAGGAACCGACATTTTATCAAAGTCGATAAAATGTCAAGTTCTAGTAACAACAATAGAAGAGAGACCAACAGACTGTTAATGTCACATATGAACAGTTCTTCAGATAACTATAACATAAACAACAGAACAAGTTTACCAAACTCTCCATCTCACTTCAAATCACTAAATCCATTTAATTCTTCATCCTCGGTGTCACTTCTGAGCAACTCGGTGAGCTCCGGAGGTAAATAGAGCGCTGCTTCCTCTTCTGTGTTGTTGCCGTCAGACTCAGCATCAGTTCCTGTTGGAATTATTCCAGCCTTTCTGAATCCTGACAGGATGGTTTCAGTGAAGTCCATGCTTTGTGCATCCATCCAGTGACTTCGAGGAAAGTTGCATGGCAGATCTTCTCGGTTACCGTGAAGCTGTGTTCTCCATCTCATCCTTTCACCAGTCACACAAGTTTTTCGCTCACTCCAAACTTTCTTCCTGCTGCTCAATTACAGTTTTCGGCTGAATATTTCACTACTTGTTCGGGACAGAGGCTTTTTTTTTGCAGGAGACATGCGCATTAGAGCCAAGTGACAGTGGTAGTGTAGTAGCAGATACTGACACACAAGCCTCAAGCCTCGAGCCTTGAGCGTCTCGCTGCTGTCAGTGTGAAAAGTTTCATATATAAGTGCCACAGGAGTATAAGTCGCAGGAAACACCCAAACCATGAAAAAAAAGAATTATTTATAGTCCGAAAAATACGGTACACTGAACTTATTGATGTTTTGCAGCTGATGCCATGAACATTCCCTGGGGGTGTGAAGCTAACTGTAGACACTGCTCTGTCTGAAGCTCTGTTAATCAAATTAAAGTGTAATCTGAGAAATGTGACTATAAAGATGTGACTTAGCTGGAACGACATTAGGTGAGCTGATTTGTGCTGTTTAAGAAAGTCACTCTCACCGTTTTGTGGAAAATCAAACCTAAACAGGACCATGAAAGCTGTTTTCAGATTATTCTGCATTTTTTGGCAGTGTTTGCTAATGTGTGCATTGTGTCTCCATGGTAACAGCTGTAGACCTACATGTAGAACACCCCCGGCCTTACGTCACTGCGAAGTCTCACTGGAGATGTGATGACAAATACATTCATACACAGTAAAGCCAAAGTGTTAAAGCTTTGTACCTGTCCTCCCCCAGTTCGTGACTCTGGGCCTTCCTGAAGTACGGCAGACAGTGTTCGTAGTCCCAGCCCTCGGCCCCCTCGCGCTGCCAGCGGTTGTAGTCCTCGGCGTGGCCCCTGATATACACCATGGCGTTGAGAGAAGAGGACCCCCCCCACACCCTCCCCCGGGGCCAGTACATCACCCGCCCATCCATGTGGGCCTGTGGCTCCGTGTGGTAAAACCAGTTGTACCTAAAACAAAAGAGATTATATTATATGGACAGTTTTATTTCTGAAGCACTCTCACCTCAGCGGTCACTTAAAGATACTGTCTAATAATGCCTTAAAGAGAAAGTATTATGCACAATAATTCTTCTGTGATGTGATAACGTTCATCAAAAACATACCTGAAGAGGTTTTAAGCATGTATGCATAACTTCCATGCATGTTTGAGTAATCTAGTGACCTTTCCCAAACCCTATTCAGACCATAAACTGTATAAAAGAAGTGGACTAAGCGAGAGTGACGTCACCCACAGTGTTCAGCGCCGCTCAAATGAAGCTTGTGGTGCTCACAGTTATAGGAGTGAATCTGGAGCCAGACTCTGTATTATGAATAGGATTTTTTTAACGGACAAAATAGCGAACGGGTTAATACGAACATTTTAAGACCAAAATGATGAAGCTCAATGCAGCAATTAGAGAGAGAGGAGCCACAAGATCCTAATGTAAGTCAATTGGAGCCAAGTTCAGAAGGAGTCAGTTAGCTATGTCCGCTCATATATATGGTCTATGATTCAAACCCTCTTTATGTTTATCTGTACAATGCTCCCAATATACAATATGGGTCCGGTCAAGCGGTAACGGAGGGAAACAGGCAGATTTTTTACATTCAAATAGCTCTTATTCAGAAACTACAGGGACTATTGAAATAAGTAAAGTATCAGAATGTAGGAAAGAGTTAACACTCCAACAGGGTAAAGTTAAACCTGTGATATTCTTTCAAGTTGTTGACAAAAAATTAAAAAACTCATGTCGGTAACGGAGGGAATGAAATATGCAGCACTTTTTGGGCAATAAATACAAACAGTGATAACTAGTGGTTCTCGCTTCCATATCCTTAACAAACTGGTTTGAATATTTGCTTCATATAGTTTTCTACCATATGGTACAAGAAAAACCTCTTACTTTTTGAGTAATGAGATTTTTATTAAGAAAGGTCATGGTAACGGAGGGAAAAGTAACGGAGGGAAAATTGTGCAAACAAGTAGAAGGTGCATGATTTTGCATTTTTTTCCTTCTGAATACTTTAATATTACTTCAAAATGAAAGGAAACTATTTCTATAAAATATGTCAGTCCTTCCAAGCAAATTTTATCATTCTAAATATTTTTTTTGAAAAATCATGTACCTTCATCAACAGTTCAAAGATGGAATAACACAAGATATGATGAAATACATCCATTTATTTACATGATTTGCAGGTCTTTGAAATTTGGGAAATAATTTTTGTTCCATGTTACATACATGGTCTGTTTAAAACATATGTAACTTTAGAACCAAAAATGGTACAGAAAAAAGGTAAACAGTTTCATAAACTAGAGTACATATGCTATTTGTTGAATACATTTATATATCAGATGCATTAACTTGAATTTTTGGCCTTGCTGTTTACTTCTGCTTGACCGGACCCATATACAAAAATATGATACAAAACTGTACACAACAACTTCACAAACCCGATGCGATGTACAGTATTAGTTTAATTGGCGAGATGTACTCTGATTGTGTTGTGATGGCGCTCTGAAGGGGAAGTTTTACATCTGTTTTATAATTATATCCTTTATTACCAAGCAGGACATGTGGGCTGAGCATTGGACAAAATCTTACAGCTAAGGACGCTTCAAATAGGGTCCAGGAAAGATCGCTAAATTACTCAAACATCCATGCATGACACCTAAACCTTCTTTAGGTGTGTTCTTTAACAACAGTGTTTCTTTGTTAAACCACAAATTGCAAAGTTCATATGATACACATCTATTTTACACAACTGTGAAAATGTCAAGTGTGTTGCATAAACAAGTTTCCTTCCACTAAATAAGGAACTAATCTGTCATGTGGTCACAAAAATAAAATGCTAAGAGATACCAAAAAATACTCTTAGTGGTATTACTACATCAGCCCACAATAACAATCACCTGACCAGCCAGAATCACACGCTTTGGCAAAACTTTACAAAGACGAGTGGATTTGGAGCTGGATCTGTGTCCTGACTCCCTGATTTCAGAGGGCATGATTGACAGACGGATTAACACATCCTCTGTTCACATCCATAACAAACGTGGCTACTTACACATAAGAAAGTGGAAAAACTACATAAAGGACTGAGAAACAGCGCAGATTTTTATAGAATCAACAATCAAAGCACCAAACTATTACTTATCTCAGGTAAAATAAGTTATGTCTTTCTGAATGTTATGAGAATTTTCAAGAGAGATGTCTTCAACGTTTGAGAGACACATAAAACAAATGAGCAGCTGTGGTGGATCATCTCAAGTCTGGACGAAGATTTTTCATGCTCTATGATCCAGTTCTTGGGCCTTCTGGATTCTAACAGAATATAGAAAGAAACTGGCTGCTCAGGCAACGATAACAATGCTGTATCACAAAATTTAGCATCACAACATATATTAGGGCTGCTCGATTATGGAAAAAATAATTATCACGATTATTTTGGTCAATACTGAACAATTATTCAAACAATTATTTTTTAAATACATGATCCATTTATTCAGCATTTCTCTCTCTCTCAAAAAAAACCCACTTTGTTATTGATAATTTACGCAAAACTTTCAAATTGAAAATAAATTGAGGCTACAAATATGAACCTTAAAGCAGTTTTGCGATGTATAAAACATAAAATGAATAAAATATACTTTGAACATGAAAGAAGGCCAAAATATCCAAAATAAACTATATATCCAGCTGTTCTATAATCTCTATATTTAAAAAATAAAATAAACATATTTATTTATACAAAAAATATCTGAAAATAAACTTTGTTAAGCTTTTATCGTTTCAACTCGATTATATGAGTTTGGAGATCGTTTGAGACACAAATCAAACTCACGATCAAAATTCAACATTCCGATTTTTTTGCACAGCCCTAGTACTTGTTTCCTACATGTGACGTACGTACTTATCATCACAGAGGTTGTAGGTGAGCGCCGCCGGCATGTGGATCTTCCAGGACAGACGCACGCTGCCCAGGAGCTGGTCCTTAGGCCCCGCCTCCAACAGCAGCACAGACTCATGGGAATCTTCACTGAGACGATTGGCCAGCACGCAGCCCGCAGAGCCCGCCCCCACTATAACGTAGCTGTACGAGGGCGTCTGATTGGCCGAGGCGCTGAGCTGTCTGCGGTGGGCGGCGCAGAGGGCGTGGGCGGAGCCTAACAGGCGGCGCAGAACATGTGACCTGTGTGTGGGCGGGGCTAGTCTCACTCCAGTGTGGACCACAGAGGCCACAGACAGCAGCATGGTGCAAGGGGGGGGTGTCCTCATTCACTGTTAGGACAAAACAACAATATTATTGATATTTTGCAGTGACATCGTGATGGGGGTGTTCTGCATGTATGTCTATGGTGGAATGTTCACCAGTTACCATGGTGACACAATGCACTCATTAGCAAACACTACCAAAAATGTTTTAAGATCATCATCATCATCATCTTTATTATTCCGGACTCATGTTCCATTTTAAAAACAGACAAGAACAGTGATACAAACACAATAAACATTCATGTTTTTAAAAGACAACCATACCAGTGTCTCCCCATACTGGACTGATACCTAATTGCACTGAATCTCAGATTTGTGAGTGACATTATTATTTCATTGTCTGATTTGTTCAGTCTGCAGATTAAACTGTACATTAAAATTCTTAGTGCAGCTTGCAAAGTGTTCACTCGTGCAGTAACAAACATCTCTGTCGCACTCGTCCATCGTGGCTCCTCAAAAGCACCGTAAAGCGTCATTGTCTTTGCAAACTGACTTTTTTATAATTAGTCCAGAGGTGGGCTGTGTGCAGCGGTGTACAATATGATTTAAACAATAGCAAATTTACATCATTTGTACAAGAACCAAACTTACGCATAAGAGTATTTGCCTGAGCATAGAGCGTCCTACACTGTCTGTACATCATCATCATCTGTCATGTCCGCGGTGATGATATGCCCGAGATATTTAATTTTTGTTGTAACAGACAACACAACATTTGACATTTGAAAATCATCTGAAAACTCTGAAAAAACACAAAATGGATTTGAACAACACAATTTCAGGACCTTTATTCAAATTAACGGCATTAACTAAAACAGGCACCAAGAAATGTTCTCTGGTTGTTTGGATATCCCCCAAAATTACTGCCACGTCTGACATATTTCTTTTTCTCAGTAACTTTCTGTTTGACATTTAAAACTGAGCTCTGGGTTCTTAGGGTCTGAGTGTGATAAAGTGAAATGAAGTGAAAAGATAAAAGCCTACGTGAAGTGACGCATATGGTCGGTCCAGACTCATCACTCCGTGTATTTACATGTGTGTAAAGTCAGATTTCAGTCCGATCCACAGAACAATAAACGTGGAATCAGGTTTGTTTATTTTAGTGATATAACAATGATAAATAAGGAGCTCATTGGAAATACGTCACATTTTTCAGTCCTGTGTGATATTTTTTTCCTTTTTCTCGTAAGCAGCCACATTTGTTTTGATAGACAGACCACGCATTGTCTAATCACCTGTCAGTCACACCAATCTGAACTCTGACAGATTTAACAGCGACCAGACTCATATGGCATCACTTTTTCTTCCAGCGAACTCCTTTATGAAAAGAAAACACCAAAGAGCTACTTATTTTAGTGGTCACAGGAAATTGCGCATTGGAAAACCTTAGATGGGGAACAGTTAGACACCCATAAAATAATATAAACCTTTATCCATTTATCGGTGCACAAAGTTAGACATTAAAAGGATACATTTATGACGGAAGTTCATCAAATTTGAGTCACTCAGCACAATATGTATAATTCAGAAATCCTTTGGCGAGTTATTTGGAAGAGGGTCGAGAACTCCTGGTAGATCCCAAGTTACAGGTTGGAGGCCCCTTGTGTAAAATTTAAGAGTATTCTGGAGAGGGCTGGTGTCATTCAGAAGTTGCCAATATGATACATACCTTGATACATAGGCCACGATCTGATACATATCTCGATACAGTGAGCTTACGATTCAATACGATATACCGTATTTTCCAGGCTATTAGGCGCTCTGGATTATATGTCATTAAATGGTCTATTTTCGAACTTTTTTCACAAAGATTTTAAATGAAACACAACAGTTGGATGGGTGAGTGGGACTTTGTTTGGTGCGTTCACGGTGACTCTGGGCTTTGTTCAGTTGTGGCGTGTAGGGAGGGTGCTGTCTGGGACCACTGGATTGTTGGCGTGCTCGAAGTGACTCAGTTGTTCAGTTGTGTCTAGAAGTGGCACATTGCACTCGCTTTTTCGGTTTGTTCCTCCGTTCCGTTCCTCGTTGGCATGGAGTTATGAGTGTATCTGTGGGTGTTTTTCGCTGTGCGGTCGCTGTCTGCTCCGTGTGTGTTTGTGTGTTCTGCGGGTGGTGAGGCTTTGTAGTTTACTGAAGTCGTGCTGGGACACTCGAGTGGATTCGTGTATAGGGCGCTCTGGATTGTGAGGCGCCCAGTCGTTTTTTGATGGGGTTGGAGGCTTAAGAGCGTGTCTAATAGCCCGGAAAATACGGTAATTCTATGGACCTTACGTCACTGCAGGTTTTTTCTGTGTGTGTGTGTGTGTGTGTGTGTGTGTGTGTGTGTGTGTGCTGGGTTTATATATGAATGTAGTGTATTGTGGGTGTGTGTCTTTATGTGTACAGTTTGGACCCTGAGTCTGTAAATAAAGTTATATCTAAATCGTGGCATATTGCTGACTAACTGGTGTCTACTGGCCTTCATAGTCACACCACACTTGCTTTATAAACTTCCATCTTTGGAAGCAGAGTCAAGGGGCTTGTACACTCAAAAATCACACTATGTTAATTTTTGAAATCATACTATGTTGACTTTTCAGGTTCTCCCTGGCCTATATTATTGATGGTAAATAAACTTCTCCTGCTTGAGACTCCAGTTGGTCTCCAGCCTTTTACTTCCACCTTTTCTCAGACAAGCTGAAAACTTCCACAACAGTATTAAGTGCAATTTTTCTGGGATCCAGAATTAGGGGTGTGCAAAAATACTGACATATTGATATATCGTATTGTTTAATGTGATGATAATGTGATGATTTTACTAAATTATTTTTATTTTGCTACAGTGCTACAGTTTTGTTGCTTGTTCAGAGGAATGAAACTTGTTTATGTGACACATTTGACATTTTCACTGTTTTGATGATTAAAATGTTTGCGTTTCATATGAACTTTGCACAAGAAGTGGTTTAACAAAGACTTTTAGTATCACAGCCATGATTTTGTCTTTTTTTTTAATTGAACCGATTTAAATTACCGTATTTTCTGGGCTATTGGACGCGCTCTTAAGCCTCCAACCCCATCAAAAAATACACGAATCCACTCGAGTGTCCCAGCACGACTTCAGTAAACTACAAACCCGCACCACCCGCAGAACACGCAAACACACACAGAGCAGACAGCGACCGCACAGCCAAAAACATCCACAGACACGCTCATCACTCCACGCCAACGAGGAACGGAACGGAGGAACGAACCGAAAAAGCGAGTGCAATGTGTCACTTCTAGACACAACTGAACAACTGAGTCACTGTGAACACACCGACAATCCAGCGGTCCCAGACAGCACCCTCCCTACACGCCACAACTGAACAAAGCCCAGAGTCACTGTGAATGCCACAAACAAACAAAACCACTGACCCATCCAACTGTTGTGTTTTGTTTAAAGTCCAGTACGGTTTATTTGTGAAAAAAGATCGAAAATAGACCATTTAATGACAGTGCGTCTTATAATCCAGAGCGCCTAATAGCCCGGAATATATGGTAAAATACTTACAGATGGCTCTTCCAACATTTCCAGATGTCAGAGTAACATTGGGTGTCACTTTCCTTAATATAGGTCAAGCACGTTATAATTCCATTTCTTGATTCATTTAACCTACACATAAATTTATATATGAGGTTCCTCATTAGAGCCTGGAATGTGGGAATATTTGTAGTAACAAACAAAGTACTCGCACTTTCCCACCTTGGAGTCTGTAGCAGAATTCTGAGAGCATCATTATGTGCCACCTTGATCTTATTCATTTTTGCTTTGCTGTAATGACACGATAGGTGAGCTGTGTACAGTGGGGTACAGTATGATCTAAAAAGAGTCGTTTTGACATCGTTTGTACACACGCTTGTGAATACAGTTTGCAGCACCGACGCTGGATGTCATCATCATCACAGGAGTCATTTCTGATAATATGGCCCAAGTATTTTGTTTTTGTTACATGAGCCAGCTGATTCAGCGTCAGGACAACTCAATCATCAGCAATTTAGATAAGGGTATGTTGTGCCAAGGGAAGATCACGGTGTAAATATAGTTCTTGTGAGTCAACGTTAAACTGAGAGATGTACTTGGAGGATAAATTACTTAAATTCTCTTACAAATATGACCTGGCTTTTTGAGGTTAATATATGTATACTGTTAAGATTATCACATAAAACAATATATACATATACACAGTGTTAGGGAGTAACAGATTACATGTACTAGAGTTACGTAATCAGAGTACAAATTATAAGTAACTGTATTTAGTTACAGTTACTGTTTCAATGAGTGGATTACAGTTACTTGGTTGAAATAAATGGATTACACTGCGGTATTTTCATTTTCCTGTTTTCACATTTGGACTATATATATATATATATTTTTTTTTTCCTGCAGTAATTCCACTCTTTGCCGAACACTAAACCAGGTCTAACACCAGGTCTAAACTAGGTCTAAAACAGGACTAAACCAGGACTAAACCAGGACTAAAACCAGGACTAAAACCAGGACTAAAACAGGACTAAAACCAGGACTAAACCAGGACTAAACCAAGACTAAACCAGGACTAAAGCAGGACTAAAGCAGGACTAAAACCAGGATTAAACCAGAACTAAACCAGGACTAAACCAGGTCTAAAGCAGGACTAAAACCAGGTCTAAACCAGGACTAAAGCGGGACTAAAGCAGGACTAAAACCAGGTCTAAAGCAGGACTAACACCAGGACTAAACCAGGAATAAACCAGGACTAAAGCTGGACTAAAACAGGATTTAACAGGACTAAACCATGTTGCACGGACAGAGTCTCCTCCGCTTCTATCACTAATACTTTAATACTTTGTGGTTCAGTAAAGTCTGGGCTTTTTATTTTCTTTTAGTAGACAGAACTTCTTATGTGAAGATTTCCTCATCTTTGCTTCTCTCAAGTAATCCAAAGTATTCAGATTACATTACTCACTTTAATTAATTTAATGGATTCTGTTACAAACTACATTTTGGGGTATGTAATCTGTAATCTGTAGGGGAATACATTTTAAAAATAAACTTCCCAACACTGCATATACATATACATATAGTGCACAAAATGGATTCTTGTGAGCTTTAAACGATGTTATAAAGCTGTTCTCCATCCAAAACAGAGCTGGAGTTGTGTTTTGTTTCATTCTCACATGTTCATTAACTCTGTAGAGAGACTAATAATAAAGGATTACTCACATGTGTGATGTTTCAGTAACTCTTTATTATTAGTCCATCTACATCTCCAAAGCTCAAAATGCTCTGCAGTAGTTTTCAAGTGAACAGCTCCTTTTACTTTTAGTTCAACAGAGGCTGGCAATGCTGAGGCTGAAATCATTCAAATTATTCTAGTGAAGGTGTGTGGAGGTTAAAAACACAGTGGAGCACTTCCTGTATTACCACATGACGTGACAAGGTGGAAGAGAGGGTTTTCTGTTTGAGAGAAGCACTCAGAACCAAAATCTGCAGGGTTTGTGTGATAATCATGTGTGAATGAAACAAAACACAACTCCAGGTCTGTTTATGATGAAGAAAAAACATTAAAACAGAACAAAATATTGTAATATGAGTGTTCTAATTTAACATTATTGTAAAAAAATAACATTTCTTTTCACATTTCTATTCTCCACAGACTAATATTATCCACTACCTGCACACACACGACCTCAGAGCCACTTCCTCTCTTCCAAAGGCACATTTGTAATTTCTAGTAAATGAACAGCTTGAAAAGGCAGTGCAAATACTGTCTCATTTCCGTAGTAGTGCGAGGGAACAGTTTTTCTGTTTTTGACCTTGATAAGATCCTCCACCCCGTTACCATGGAAACAAGTGTGTAATCATTTAGTATCTGAAAAACAGCTGCTGTACAGGGTAGGGTTAAGATAAGAGACTAAAACCAAACCTATGTCAACACAGAATGACAATTCAGCCTAAAATATTTGTGTGTGAATAAAACAAAACGCAACTCCAGGTATGTTTGTGATGAGGAAACAAGGACACAGTGATTCTCATAAAAAAATAGTGTAACTAAGGATCTCCTAATGATTACACTTCAATTATAAATCAGATATTTCATCTTGACAGTTACTCTTTGTGTTAGAGTAGCTGTTTTCGCTTTTTTCTCTCTCTTACTTGAGTCATGCCTTAGACCAGAGGTGTCCAAACTTTTTTCATCAAGGGCCACATATCTAAACACAGACGAAGCAGAGGGCCGATCAAGGGCCGTAGACTGGTGCTCAATACAGTGAATAATTGAAATACGTGCATGTTTAACACGTTAGAATGAGCCATCAGTCTTTATTCATGCTAAAATCCTTAAAACCACACACTTACTATTAAATATTTGCTTTATCGAGGTAGATTTTCAAAAAAAAACTTGCAGTAAAAAGTTAACTTTTAATTGATTCAAGGTAATTTGGCCAGTTCACCTGGAAAACTTGACTTATACTTGAGTAATATTACTTTAAGTGCGTAATTAAGGAAAATTGTTGCACTCAACCCATTCATGACTTATTCATGACTAACATGTAAGTCAGTATACTCACATTTTCTTTGTGTATTGGTCAATAAGCAGCTTTTCTGTATTTTATTTAACAAATGACAATTTATGCCTTTCTTTACTGTTGACAGGTGTCAAATTGGTCAAAAATAGGGACGCATGGGACATTTCTTGTATAAAACTGGGACAAATCACTGGTTTTGGATAAATCTGCTGGGACTGGGGACACAGGACTCAAAACTGGGACTATCCCGGGTAAATAGGGACGTCTCGTCACTCTAAACATGTGTGAATGAAACAAAACTCAACTCCAGGTATGTTTTTGATGATGATGATGATGATTATTATTATTATTATTTATTATTATGCCAAGTAACATTATTATTATTATTATTATTATGCCAAGTAACATTATTATTATTATTATGCCAAGTAACATTATAAGATAGATCAGGTAACACGGGTTATTTAATGGTGAGGGCTGCAAACTGCTGCGGTATATAGGTCAGTAACTAAAGTGGCCAAGAGCCAACCAAGGAGCAGATAACTCAGCCGACCTTTAGCACAGATTTAACACTTACAAACGCCATCTTTAAATCAAAAACATCTGCGATTCACCGTGCACAATGCAATTAATCAACCTGCAAACAAAATTACAACTTTTCTACAGGATATTATCAAAGTAATTACTGAAAATGCACGAGTAAAATAAATGTAGCGGTTTCAAATAGGCTGCAGAAGTCTAAGCTAACACGGCAAGCCTTGTTGTGTCATAGTGTGCAAGATTTTGGAGATGTTTATAGTAGTTTGTTTTTGTTTTCTTTGCCTAGCTGTGAAGAAGTGGTTACCTAAGGTTATTTACGCGTGCAATGTCCACACAAAATAACGCTCAAAGTTCACAGACACACGCACGGGGTTATTGCAATATCTGCGAATGAACTAGAGATATGCTGTCATCGTATTTGGACTAAACTTTACAAATGTTTAAAAAAAATAAAAAGTTTGAACAAACGTACCGTTGTCTCCAGTTTCCTCAGAATTTGTTGGTTTTGAGACCCGAGCTCACCCGGGCGGGCGGAGTCAGCGGCGGAGGGGCGGATCACGGAGCTATGGGGCTGACTCATGGATCTATTAAAATAACTATAAATCATAAACTCTCGGCATTTAAAATCAGAGGATGTAATTACAGTAAATGTTAAAAATCTTGTATTACGCAAAAGTGGATCTTGTGAAAGCCATTTAAAACACACCCGGAGGCGACTGAAGGCGAAAAAAAGCAACTGCAGCTGCCTTCACCTGCCGTCATGGACTACAAAGCCCAAGGGCATGATGGGAAATGCAGTGCTGTTAAACACGTGCTCTGACTGACAGCTGATTAAGCCCGATATGTTTGAATGAAACGTGAAACTCTGCAGCTCCTCACATCTACGATCTTTATCTACATCTACACATTTATCTACTCTTCATTTCAGACATTTACGGTAAAATCAGACAGAAAAGTGCCCGGGTGTTGTACATTAGAGGTCTCCAACCTTTCTTTCTTTCTTTCTTTTTTTTTTTTTTTTAATTCAAGTTTTTATTTTATGTTACAGTTTTTAACATATAACATAACAGACAACAGCACATTACTTAGGGCCGAAGGCGTAAAACAACAAATTTATCTGTACATATGCATATGCAAGTGCACTCCAGAGCAAAAATAAACAATAAAATAAAAATGTCAAAGTGCATGTGACAAGCCTCCACACCTCTCTAATTTCCACTCAGTTTAACCTGTTACAAGTACAATTAGTTTCAATTCTAAATTAAAAGGACAAATCCATACCACATGCATAAAGTGCAAAAAACAAAGATTTGTTTTCCCAATGTACCAATTTCAAATGTGTTTTAGTCAATTGAGCAATCAAACCTGTCACAGGCATTTCAATCAAAAACAGGTGCCCAAGATTTTACAAAAATGTCCATGGTATCATTCAACTTAGCCAATAATTTCTCATATGAGACAATTTTCATCAAATTGTCCATCCATCTGATAAAGTCTGGAGGAGAAGGATCCTTCCATACACCAAGAATTACCCGTGCTGCAGTTATTACCCCCACCTTTAAAACCACATACTCACATTTTGTTACCCCTGGCATTACTGATTTATTCCCAAGTAAACATAATCTTGGTGACCTGGGTATAGTTTTACCTATCCACCTTTCTATACATTCTAGTACTCTCTCCCAAAAGGGAGTCTCCAACCTTTCTTATCCTCTGAGCTACTTTCACAAAACTAAAATGCCAGAGAGCTACTACTTTTAGCAGCCACAAGAAATTGAGTGAATACATGCATCATGAATTTCTGACTTCCGGTCATTGCGCAGTGCATACTGGGAAGGAATTTCATGTTGTCAAACCCAGTCTTTTGAACCATATTGTTTTTGTTTCTGGTTCTGATATTGCCATATTTTAGTTTTGGGATTCGGACATCATAATTGTGTGGTTGTTGGATCCTAACAGCAGAAAAACGGCTCAAGAAATTTGTTTACAAACTTAATAACTGCAAAAGGGAATCAGATGTGTGTGACTGCAAACCCCCGTTCAAACTGTTTCCCTTCCCAACGGAATTGAAAAATAATGAAAGGTGAAGGCGATGGGCAGGATTGATCCACGGTAAGGACAAAAAAGGAAACCTTTGGCTGACATTTATGTAGTTCACAAACTTCTGAAGCCCATTTCTCGAGCTGTTTTCCGCTGTTAGGACATACAACAACCACACAATAATGTCTGAATCCCAAAACTAAAATATGACAATATCAGAAGCAGAAACAAAACTGATATGGTTCAAAAGACTTGAAAAGATCAACCCACTGGGAAAACAAACATGCCGATTTGATGCTCACTTTTTCGGGGATTCCTTCCCAGTATGCATTGCGCACTGACCAGAATTCCCAAATTCGTTATGCATGTATTGACTTTTTTCACAACGCCCAGAAGTGCCGCGATGTATTGTAAACGTCACTTACGTTAACATTTTTTTAATGGCAAAATATCTGTGGAAATGTGTTGCGTATTTTCCACCAGCTTCATAAATCTGTCCCAACACCAATTCTTCATACAACAAGGTTAACAAAGAACAGATGCTGTCAATGAAAAATGTATCCACAACTATGAAGGAAAGAAGGACGAAAACGTAAATCGACTAGAGTTAGTGAACTAACTATATAACATATATATATATATATATATATATATATATATATATATATATATATATATATATATATATATATATATATATATATATATATATATATATATATATAACATATAACATAAGTAATAAGTCATTTGCTAATAACTAACTTGTTAACTCAGGCTAACATCATGAAATTGATTTTTGATTTTAATAGTAATGTAGAACTGATGTATAATCAGTCTGAGTCAACAATCATGCGATGATTCATGCATTGATTCGTAAAGGTATGATGGGAAATTCAGTGCTGTCAAACATGTCCCCTGACGGCTGACTGGGTTTGAATCATACACCGTATATATGAGTGGACATAGCTAATGCTCTAGTCGCCGCATGCCAAACAGGAAGTTCACCAGGAGGTTCTTCGGGTTCCTTCTGACTCTGGCTCCAACTGACTTACATTAGGATCTTGTGGCTCCTCTCTCTGTACCTGCTGCAGTGAGCCTCATCATTTTGGTCTTAAAATATTTGTATTAACCCACTCTACATGATCCTGAGTTTTTTTTGTTTTTTTTTTCACTTTTTTGTCCATCAAAAACAATCCTATTTATAACACAGAGTCTGGCTCCAGATTCGCTCCTGTAACCGTGAGCATCATCAGCCTCATTTGAGCGGCGCTGAACACTGTAGGTGACTTCACACTCGCTTAGTCCACTTCTTTTATACAGTCTATAGTTTGAATGAAATGTCCCTCCTTCTTCATCTCACATCTATGATCTTACAGTCACATTTATCTACTCTTCATTTCAGGCCACAAGAAATTGAGTGAATAGAAGAGCCACGGTGAGCCTTAGATGAGGTACAGTTACATGCCTATAAAACATAAACTATTATCCATTTATTAGTGCACAGTTACGCATCAAAATGATACAAATACAGTGGTAAGAGGCATTTATTTAATCAAATTTGACTTATTCAGTACAATACGTATAATTCAGAAATCCCTTGGCGAGTTATTTGGAAGGGGGTGGAGAGCTACAGGTTGGAGACTTCTGTCCTACACTGACACCATGATTATAGGTGAGCTAAAAGTCATTTTCAACACAGATCTGGCCAAAAAGTGTCAACCTTTTTATAAGCTCTGTATGCGCTCTTTTCACGTTAATGTCACAAAACCCCAAGACGTTTGGAAACATGCAGAAGATGACTTCCTTTGGGCTCTATCTGACAAAATCAAATCTTTCACAGACTTTGGGTGTTTCCCATTTCCCAGGATCCTTCCTCCAAAGACCACTCTGTAGCACTGTTCCAGAGTCCTTTCCTCCGAAGCAGAGCCGAGTGTCCTGCTCACCTCTCCTGAACAGACACCATAAAAGAAGCATTGATGGTTTAATAAACATGAATGCTTCTACAAATAAAAAGTATTCAGAGGTGTTTTTATGTGCCAGCATGTATTAAAAAATGAAGGCTGAATGAATGATCTGTTATCAAATTATTTAGGCTAATAATTAGTCTAAATAAATAAAAAAATAAATACACAGGCTGAAACATTTTCAAATAATATTCTAATTGTATTCCCATTCCTCTTTTTTTAAAGGGACAGTTCAGAATTTTGGACATTGGATCACTAGGAAATGAGGTCCTGAGTGTTGGAGACGTGTGGAGACACTTTTTTAACTATTTCAACCAGTCCTGGTGTTAGACTAGTGCATGTCAATGACCATTGTTATCCTGCCACTAAAAACAGTTTCACCCACTCCACAAAACACCCGAGGTAAATCTATTATTACACCAGACTGTTTATGTAAATTTCTGTGCTGATAGAATAATGTTTCAAATTAAACTAACCTTTGTGAATCATTGCACAAATCATGTGATGATTCATGCGTTGATTTGCAAAGATGGGAAATTCAGTGCTGTCAAATATGTGCCCTCATGGCTGACAGTCCGCTGACTGGGTTTGAATCGTAGACTGTATATACTGTATCTACTACCAAACAGGAAGTTCACCACGAGGTTCTTCCAGCTCCTTCTGACTCTGGCTCCAACTGAAGTCATAAAAGAAGCATTGATGGTTTAATAAAAATGAATGCTTCTATAAATAAAAAGTATTCAGAGGTGTTTTTATGTGCCAGCATGTATTAAACATGTGAATAATGAAGGCTCTTAACGAATTATTTAGGCCAATAATTAGTGTAAATAAATACATACATACATAGGCTGAAACATTTTCGGATAATGTTCTAATTGTATTCCCAATCCCTTTCTTTAAGAGATTTTGCTGCATTTGTCCTGATTTGAATTCACATGAGTGATGTCATGTCAGCCATTTTGCACGGCAAAAAGCATCTGCATCAACAAGTCAACATCAATACCTGCAACAGTTAACAATGTACAACATCAACATCGTTACACAACAGTACAACATCGACATTGTCATACAACAGTACAACACTGACATCGTCATACAACAGCACAACATCGACACTGTCACACAACAGTACAACATCGACATCGTCATACAACAGTACAACATCGACATACAACAGTACAACATTGACCTCGTCATACAACAGTACATCGACATCGTCATACAACAGTACAACACTGACATCGTTATACAACAGTACAACATCGACATCGTCATACAACAGTACAACATCGACATACAACAATACAACATCGACATACAACAGTACAACATCGACCTCGTCATACAACAGTACATCGACATCGTCATACAACAGTACATCGACATCGTCATACAACAGTACAACACTGACATCGTTATACAACAGTACAACACTGACATCGTCATACAACAGTACATCGACATCGTCATACAACAGTACAACACTGACATCGTTATACAACAGTACAACATCGACATCGTCATACAACAGTACAACATCGACATACAACAGTACAACATCGACATCGTCATACAACAGTACAACATCGACATACAACAATACAACATCGACATACAACAGTACAACATCGACCTCGTCATACAACAGTACATCGACATCGTCATACAACAGTACATCGACATCGTCATACAGCAGTACAACACTGACATCGTTATACAACAGTACAACACTGACATCGTCATACAACAGTACAACATCGTCATACAACAGTACAACATCGTCATACAACAGTACAACATCATCATACAACAGTACAACATTGTCAACAGTTATCGTGTACAACATCAACAATTGTCATACAACAGTACAACATCGACATCGTCAACAGTTACCGGTGAGTTTAAACTTTTCAAAGTAACGTTTTTGATCCTCAACATCCAGTGACTTGAAGTCATGTCAAAACATTTAAATGGAAAATCTACTTCAAAATAAGACGAGTCATCTCACGCAACACAACTGTCAACACAAGTGAGCGGCCCCACTGAATTTTGCCTACCAGCCACTGCGCACGTGCGGAAAAGCCGGATGTAAACAAAAGCGTTTTCTGTATTCAATCTAATAATAGATCTGTATCAAACTGGATAAATTGAAAAAAAATAATTTTATTGAAGAATTTGTTTTATTTGATTAAAATGCATTTTATTTATTTATTTTAAATAAAGTTAGGAAATGCGGTGCACTGTGGGTCATTTGCAGCGCTCCGAGGTGGTAAAGGATCCACAGGTGCATCTTTGGTAAAATGTGGATCTGTTTATGGTCCGAAGTGTTTCAGAATTGGGAAACACATTCAGATTTATGAAGTACATCACTTAACAAATAAACGCGTGATCTGTCCTGCCAGTGGAATTTCAACTTGAACACAGCTCCTTGTTAAAAGTGAGTTATTTGAGCCGCGATTGGATGTGAATTCCCGTCCCGGAGGGTTGGGGGGCGGAGTGAGCGTGGTGTGGCCGGATCATGAGCAGAGCGGCCGGGCGGGGTTTGGCAGAGAGCGCCGATCTGGAGAACCTTAAACCGGACCCCGGGAGGATGCGCTGCACTGACTGGAGAGCTGAGCAGGAGGGCACTGAACGGGTATATTTAGTCTCACTCAGTGCTCGCACGTGTTTCTTTAGACGGATTTCATCGCTGACTGCAGGTTTTTTCCCTTTTTTGTAAGATGGAGATGATGTGGGGTGTTTTGGTGATTTTGCTGTGTGGATCACTCGCATCTGGAGTGTCTGTGAACGAAATAGTAAGTCTGATTTTATTTGTTATAAATTAAATACATTTCAAGAAAAAAATAAAATAAAGTACTTTAGAGAAGTTAATTTTATGCATTTTATCATAATTAGCGGAGGCGGAGTAAACAGAAATTGTAGGGGGAGTCCGAGGCAGGATGTCACACTTTTTCCTCTTGTCTCTGTAATATACATGACGGAAATATAGTATGTATAGTATTTATAGTATACCAAATGAACTACGGTCTTATACATAGTCATTTATAGAAACACGAGGTTAGGTCTGTGGTGACATGGTGAGTTGTCACATTCACCATTATTAATAATATTAAAAAATGAAATGAATGACGTTCATGAGGACTGCATTTTCTGTCTTGGGGATGTACATTAATTGTTTATAGAAAAATCATCAAAGTAATCACATGCATAGGGTTTCAAAATCAGATTTTCATTATCAGAAACTGGGACACCCCCAGTTTGTGGTGGTTGGTAATAATAAAAGTGTGAAATGACCGTGTAATTAAGGAAAATTATTCTGCACTCTGCCCACTCATGACTAACATATGAACCAGTATAGTCACACTTTCTCTGGGTTTTTTAAGGCAGATTTTCTGTATTTTACCTAAACAAATGACAATTTATGCCTCTCTTTACTGTTGGCAGGGATCAAATTTGACAAAAATAAGGACACCAGGGTCATTTCTTCAATAAAACTGAGACAAATCAGTGGTTTTGGATAAATCCATTGGGACAGGAGACACAGGGCACAAAACTGGGACTGTAAAGCATCTGGTTTGAATTAGAGAGACAAAAGCACCATTCTGACCAATCTCTGTAAGCTGTATTTTATTGCTCACACTCTTGTAAAAGTTACTCAGTGTCACTATAAAAAAAAATAAAAATACAATTTTAAATGTGATTAAAACATGAACTTTTGGGTGGTATTTTTAAGAAGGGGCCCTTAACCTCTCTGGGCTGTGAATAGAAATACTCTCATCTGATCGGTGTCTTTAAATATTTAAATATGTATTTACTAAATTATTACAATTTCTTGGAAAGTTATAACAAAATAGTTTCCAGGAAAAACCCAGACTCATTGCTGTACCCGCGGCTGATCTGTATAATAAATACAGAGATACTGTATCTTTCTGGATTTCCAGGCAAACAAAATATCCTATTGCACATTAAAAAATTGTATATTACACAAAACTAACTCTTTGCTTTACAGTTTTTTTAATTGTTTTAGCACATTTTTTGAAAGTTGATTTAGTTTGACTTTTTGTTTCAAACCTCTGAGCAGGGAACAGGTGCTCACATCATTTGAAACATTTTTCATGAGTTCATACAGTTCTTAGGCTCTTTCTCTGAACACTGGACACAGCTTTCATTCACAAACACATGTTATCAGTGAAGTCACTTTGTTTTTTCAACACTGGAGGTCTGATCTCTTGTGGTAATGGACTTTGGTCAAAACTCTGTCACTTTCAATATAGAAACTCAAACAGAACGGCAAATTAAAATGTGTGAGCCCCAGAAATCTGCGAGGAAAGGATTTCACACATGAGGCAAGAGACATGTACAGACTACGTACAGATTTTAAGATACATACAGTTATTGTTTAATTTTCAAGAACACATTATATATTACAGTACAAAATTAATATGATATATATGCTATTCCAACACCTTTCAGTTTTCTTCAGCATAAATATTTTGGATTAAATACGGTAAAATCTACTTTGCAATTGGTAATGTACTTTTATATTTTTACATAATGCAATACAAACAGGTTTTAGACAAAGAAGTACAACAACTATATAGTCACTGAGAGAAGAACTGAACCTTCTGAGCCTCAGTGTCAAATGAATGAAACAGTGTGAGATGGTTTTGATGGTAGAACTTGCTTTTGGAGAATGATTGACCAGTTTAGAATAAAAAACTGCATTTTGTTGAGATTAAATTTAGTTTTAGGAATTTGTGTGAGCTGTTTTGCACATGTCAATAAAAGTGCCAGAGCAACTGAGAAAAACTGTAAGCCATGTTATAATGTTGTTACCTCCTCAAAAACAAACCTGGAGTTGTGTTTTGTTTCATTCACAGATGTTTGAGTAACACGTTATTTTCAATCTGTCTACATCCTCAAAGCTCAAAATGCCCTGTTCTACCTTCTGATGTCAAGAAGTGGTAGTTTTCAAGCTCCTTTTACACTTTTTTTTCAGTAGAGATTGGCAATTGCAGGGCTGAACTTGTCCAAATTGTGAATCCTAGTGAATCTTGTATTACCACATGACATCACAAGGTGATACAGAGTGTTTTATGTTTGAGAGAAGAACTCAGCCTAAACATGCAGGATTTGTGAGTTAAATATGTGAATGAAACAAAACAAACTCCAGGTCTGTTTGTGACGAAGAAACATTATATCATAGATCTGAAAATAGTGTAACATGGGCCCTTTAAGACAAACACTAACATTAACATTTGTTTTCTGTGTTTCAGAGTTTGATCTGTGATGATTATTCTGGTAGGTTTTGCAGTACTTTTTCATTCATGCTTATGATGATGGTTGTTGTAATCCTGCCCCACACTGACACCAGACTCTTGTTTCAGGCGAAATCCCAGAGAGTGACACCTACGCCCCGTCTCTGCTGGTCGACCTGAAGGCCACAGCAACACTGGACCAAGGGCACTATCTGTTTAATATCAGCTGGGCCATTGCAGTAGACAGTAAGAGATGACTGTAATACATTTTATTATAAAGGGTTTGTGTGTCAATGAAACAAAACACAACTCCTCATCAAAATAACATTAGGGGTCATATGGTAAATGGTCACATTTTTCTATAGCGCTTTTCCACCTTCAAGGTCCTCAAGGCGCTTTACAACAAGGAACCACTCACCCATTCACACACACATTCACACACCAGTGTACGCAGACACTGTGGGCAAGGTGGGCAAGGTGGGTTAAGTGTCTTGCCCAAGGACACAATGACAGCATTCATCTGTGGGAGCTGGAATCACACCAGCCAACCTGTGGGTCAGTGGATCTAACCGCTCAACCTGTGATGTTTATGTCGAGAGCTGGAATTGAACCGCCAACCTTCAGATCAGTGGGCAAATGCTCTACCAACTGAGCTACTGCCGCCCCGTCCCCATATCTTGCCTCTGGTCTTTGTGCGAGTGCAGGCGTGGGGCGTGGAGTTCTAAACCAGAGGTTTAGTGCCTGAATATCAGGTGGAGCAGACTGAGGGTGTCATGCGACACTTTCAGTGAATTAACAGAATTGTAAAAATAAATATTAAATGAGTTCACTGGAAAACATTATGTGTAAGATATTCATGACATAAAAAGCTTTTGTTTATTTTAAAATTTATGATGCCCTCCCACAGCAGAGCACAGCCTCGTGTCTGCTCCCTGTATCAGCTCAGCGCTGCTCTACAGTTTGGTTTGATCACGATCTGTACAAAAGCTGCACCTCTATGTACTTACCTTTTGGGGTTCTGGAGTTGTTTTTGTACCTATGTATATCTATCTATATCTATATCTATATCTATATCTATATCTATATCTCTATATATCTATATCTATCTATCTATATATCTATATCTATCTATCTATATCTATATCTATCTATCTATATCTATATCTATCTATATATCTATATATCTATATATCTATATCTATATATATCTATATATCTATATATATCTATATCTATATATATATATATATATATATCTATATATATATATATATATATATATATATATATATATATATATATATATATATATATATATATATATATATATATATATATATATATATATACACACATATACATATATATATATATATATATATATATATATACATAGACACAGTGATCACAGACTGGTTCAGTACCTGTACTGTCCCACTCCAGCCCCCTCCGGCCAATTACAGCCCAACCTGGACACACTCCCTTGTTAAGTTTGCACTTGCGGTGGCGAGATAAGGCCCTATAACATAGATCAGAAAATAGCATAATATGGGCCCTTTAAATACTTATAGACATGTTTCAAATCTGGTTTTATTTCTCGTGATTAAGGGACCTCTTTCTTCTCACAGGTACTCTCAAATACGTCAAAGGCATCATCATCCTCGTCACAGGAAACGTTATGTTGAAATGTGAATATGATCCACCTTTGAAAGAACTCAAGCTCCCAAATGATCAGGAAGAACCAGTAAGACAAATATCTGCATAGTAATAAACTGTTTTTTTTTTTTTTTAAATACACAGTTCCCTTGTACTGTTCTGCCTAAATAGTTGTTTTTGCATGAATTCCCGTTTTCTTGAAATCTTGTGAGATATTTGAAGTGGAAATTTAATAGCATTGTCTCCATGTTTCTGTGTCCTCCATTCTGTGTCCTCTGCCCCTCCTCCCCCTCACTCTTCTCTCTAGCGAACTAACCCATCGGCTGGACATGTTCTAAAGGTGCATTATGTAACTTTTCTGGTGGAGGGTCTGTCAAATGCTTTTCTTTATAGAGACGTTAGTTCACTGCACGATAATAAACCTTTCTATTGTCATGGTGAGCAAACCAAGTTACCGGTCAGATCTGTGGAGACGCTCACAGTCAGAATCTCTGTTTTTCTAAGTGTTTTTAAGCCCAACCAAAAAGTTACATAGTGCACCTTTAAGTCGACCCAGGGTTTCTTTAGTGGACCATTGGCCTGGTTTTGAATAGCGAGTGATAAAGCTCTGTCCTTTCAGATTTGGTTCCACCACTCTGTTTACGCATTCTACGCTCCTCAGCCCTTCATCGTCCAAGCCAAAAACATTCCTCAGCAACCGGTGGACCACGACATACCGTACAGATATGTGACGGTGTATCCGCCGAGAAGACCAGGTACGTATAACCACACAGACTGTTGGCTGGTCAAAGCCTGAAGAGAAGCAGAGCTGGGCCTGGTTAGGACTGGGGATGAGCCGAGGATCCTGGCAATTGGGAAACAGTCAGGGACACAGAGACACAGAGGCAGAGAGAGACACTGTCAGGTTTAAACCCACCTAAACATTGTAAAACAAGAAGAAAGACAAGAGATTAGAATCGTTTTCTCATGAGGAGGGCGGACAGAGAGTGCATTCACCGTTACAATCTCGACCCGTTCTGATGCACTCTCTGCGTCTCCTCTTTTTATTGTCTTAGGAGGGTCCCTAGTTACAATGGGTGTCTCCGCTCTCAGGAGAAGGGGTGAAAACAGCAGAAACACCAGACATACAAATATGACAAATATATGTTATCAACAGCAGGTGCATATGTTTCGTTTAGCTTTCAGACACAGCTTTCTCCGTGCAGCCTTGAAAGTCGTCTGCTCTCATGCTCCGAGCGCCTTGAGAGTGTCTGCTCCCAGGCTCCGAGAGCCGAATCGCCGTTGCTCACACATGACTGCATACAGTTTCCAAGCACAAAAGATTATTCAAATACACAAAGAATGGTACATAGCAAATATAGCAAATATAGGATAATATATACAATTATTCTATCAGACACACACACTGAAAGAGAGAGACAGAGAGAGAGAGAGACACAGAGAGAGAGAGAGAGAGAGACAGAAAGAGACATGGAGAGACACAGAGAGACACAGATAGAGAGACTCACAAACAGAGACACACAGAAAGAGAAAGACACACACACAGAAAGAGAGAGACACACAGAGAGAAACACAGAGAGAGAGACAGAGAGAAAGAATGAGGCACACAGAGAAAGAGACACACAGAGAGAGACACAGAGACAGAGACACATAAACAGAGAGAGAGACACACACACAGAAAGAGACAGAGAGAGAAACATAGAGAGAGAGACAGAGAGAGAAACACGGAGAGACAGAAAGAGAGAGAGACACACAGAGAAAGAGACAGAGACACAGAGAGAGAGACACAGACAGAGAGAGAGAGACACACACAGAAAGAGAGAGACAGAGAGACATAAACAGAGAGACGCAGAGACAGAGAGTGAAACTGAAAGAGAGGCACAAAGAGAGACACACACACAGAAAGAGAGAGACACACCGAGAGAGAGACAGAGAGAGACAGAGAAACAGAGAGAGACACACACAAAGACAGAGAGACACAGAGACAGAGAGAGAGACAAAGAGGGAGAGACACAGAGAGAGACACACACAGAGAGAGAGAGACACACGTAGAGAGACACAGAGACAGACACACACAAACAGACACAGACAGTGAGACAGACAGAGAGAGAGCGAGACACACACACACAGAGACACACAGCGAGAGAGACAGAGAGAAACACACTGAGAGATACTCACAGACACAGAGAAACACGCACACAGAGACAAACACGTACACACAGAGAGACACACACAAAAACAGAGAGACACACAGAGAGAGAGCGCAGTAATAGTAGGTCTGACTTTTGAACTTCACTGTGTGCACAATTATTTTTCATGTGCGTATTTTGAGGATATCATGATTTTTATGCATATTCTCCAAGCTCTATAAACTTGAATTCTTATTGGATTTAAGCATAAATGGCGATTTGTATTTGTCTAACGAGGAGATCAAAATTCTTTATCAAGGTGTGCAGAATTATTAGGCAGCTTCTTTTCCTCAATCAAAATGGGCCAGAAAAAAAGAGATTTAACTGTCTCTGAGAAGTCAAAAAATGTAAAATGTCTGTAAAAAATGCTCTTGAAATTGCAAAGATATTGGGGCGTGATCACAGAACCATCAAACGTTTTGTTGCAAATAGTAGTCAACAGTGTCGCAAGAAACGTGCTGAGAAAAAAAAGACGCAAATTAACTACAAGAGATTTGAGAAGAGTCAGACATGAAGCTACCAGGAACCCTTTGTCTTCAAGTGCTGTCATATTCCAGAAACGCAACCTGGAGTGTCCAGAAGTACAAGGTGTTCAGTGCTCAGAGACATGGCCAAGGTGAGGAACGCTGAAACCCGAGAACCACTGAACAAGAAACATAAGCTGAAACGTCAAGACTGGACCAAGAAATATCTGAAGAGAAATTTTTCAAAGCTTTAATGGAGTGATGAGATGAAAGTGACTCTTGGCGGACCAGATGGATGGGCCCTTGTCTGGATCAGTAACGGCCACAGAGCTCCACTTCAACTCAGACGCCAACAAGGTGCAGGTGGGGTACTGGTATGGGCTGGTACTATCAAAGATGAGCTTGTTGGACCTTTGTTGGACCTTAACTCAAAATGAACTCCAAAACCTACTGCCAGTTTTTAGAAGACACTTTCTTCAAGCAGGGGTACAGGAAAAAGTCTGCATCTTTCAAGAGGACCATGACTTTTATGAAGAACAACAGCATCGAAGTATTCTGTCTGTCTGTAAAGGGCTTAAAGAGACAGAATTTTGGACATATGACCTCATTTCCTAGGGAGCCAGAGTGTTGGAGACATGTGAAGACATTTTTTAAAATATTCCATCCAGTCCTTGTATTTGCAGAGGTCGCTGGTGCTAGACTAGTGCATGTCAATGGTCATAGTTATCCTGTCACTAAAAACAATCTTACCCACTCTAGGGTTGGGCGATATCCAAATTTTGATACCATTAAATCTTCTCAGGATTTTACCAGGGTATACGGTATTACCATATTACCAAAATGTTTTAGTACAACTTTGGTAAGCTACGAAGCTGCACCATTGTACAGTCTGTGTGTATGACCTGCAGACTTATAATCTCTGAAAAGTTTCACATGAACCATCTCCAACACACACACACAGAACAGACTCACCATCAGCAGCACATCCGCTGTCACAGAAAGAACACTCATATTCCACTGAGTCGTGCCTTTTAGTCCAACAGAAGTTGAACCACATTAGTGCACAAGGAGAGAGCTGTTTTTATCAACGCTTTATAGTTTATGCAAATGAGCCATGTGGTTTTAAGTTTGTTTCTGTAAAAAATAAACAAATGCACACCTGATGCCAAATTGCTGACAAATTGCAGAAGTACTAGTATTTTTTTGGCTGGTGGGACCAACTCGCTTGCGGCCGGACTTGCTGTCTTGTCTTGGTCTCCCTTATGAGCGTCACATGACAACGGAACAAAACTAATCCAACGTCGTCTCCCCACACAGCTAAAAGAAACATCATAGACACTATTAGTTTTAAATCATGATAGCATTAAATTGAAAATACAATCACACATTCATTTGTGCTGAGTAAACACATTTAGGTATCAATAAATTATAATATTTTATTAGGTCCTGCCGCTTTTTTACGTAGCTGTAGATTTTTTTAATGACGGTAATAAAAGTGATACTGTTGCCGCCCAACCCTAACGCACTCCATAAAACACCCGAAGCAAATCTATTATTATGCCAGACTATCGATGTGATGTCTGTGTTGACAGAATAATTTTAGAAGTAAAACCAGACCTTCCATTTGAAGGATTTATGTCTGAGCAGCAGCAGTGAGTTGTACTTCCTGATAGAAAGCTCAGCAGCGGCGGACTGATATCACCTCGCACCTATCTTACCTCTGTTGCTGAAAATTGTCCCTCAACATGCGACTATTCATGGGATGCCTATGTCCAAAATTCCGGACTGTCCCTTTAAAGTTGATAAAATAATGACATGCCCTCCTTCCTCACCTGACATAAACCCTATTGGCCCTTCTTAAAAGGAAGATTTCCAGTGAAGGAAAACTACACCTCTCTGAAAAGTGTCTGGAGCGCTGTGGTTGCTGCTGCTCAAAAAGCTGATCGTCAACAGATCAAGAAACTGGCAAACTCCTTGAATGACCATTTTTGAGAAGAAGAGTGGCTATATTGGTCACAGATTTTTCTTTTTAAATGTCTGAAATGTTTATTTGTAAATTTTGAGTTGTTTACTATTCTGACAGATGTGGCAGATGAAGCGGCTGTGGAAGCGCTGGAGGACCAGAGCCTCAAAGAAGAAAATGAGGTTCAACCTCTGAAGGAGGCTTGCGAAGCGTCAGTTCAAGAGGCAAAAACACAGGCGCAGAAATACTTAGAGGAGACAAAGAAGAACGAGAAACTAGAGGTAACTCTGAAAGACAAAGATGGGACGATTAGCAACCTGGAGGAGAAGATCAAGAGCCTTCAAGATGAGGTCAAGACCCTGAAAGTTTCCCTGCGTTTGTACAATAACATGACAGAGGTCAGGGGAAAGAAAAGGAAAAGGAAGATCAGAGCCAACAGGGCATGCAGACGTTCATTCCACCAGGGTAGCCGTGGGGTCTTAGAAAGCTCTTAAATTTCATGTTCCTTAATTAAGACCTTAAAAAGTTCTTAAATTATGCTGTCCAAGTCTTATTTTTTTCACAAAAGTCTGAAATTTCATTAGCCTAATTTTTTGTACACTCAACTGGACTGCAGTGCAATGTTAAATGAGGGGAGGGAAAAAAACAACGTGAAATCATGTAACGTAAATGAATGTCAAATTTGGAGTATGCGCAAACATTACTTGGGTTTCTGGCGGCGGCGGCAATGAGTAAACAATCAGTCGAGTGGAGGAAGACGTTGGATGGATCATGGGGAAGTGTAAGTTTAATCCACAGTGGCTCTTTGATTCTAGATATAGTACTGTAATTTCCCGGCTATTGAGCGGACCTGAATATAACCCACATCAACTAAATTTTAACTAAATTTTAAAATTGTACATATGTAGGCCGAACCTGAATATAAGCCGCACGTCCACGTCCACGTCTTCAAAAACGTTTTCAAGTTGGGGCCGTCTGCTTTTATCGCCTCTGAAAGCTTTTGTCGTCTTTTTGAGTTGAGTCAGTTTGTCATGCTGCCATCGCCAACGTCTCACCGTCGACTCTCTGATGTTGAGCTCACGTGCAGCAGCTCTGTTTCCTTCTTCCACAGCCACATCAATCACCGTTAACTTAAATCTGCATGTGTGAGCTATTTGCTTATTTTGTTGATTATTTTGTTGATCTTTTAATGACAGTCTGAACGACACAGATCCGATTTTTTCAAATGCGACCCAGGCCACTTTGATATGTGCTCCTGAAACCGATACATATCCGATCTTTTGACATGCGACTTCAGTCTGAACGGCCAAAGCGCATTCATTCGACCTACACGTTATCAACAAGCCACAAACGTCACTATTCTGCGCTGAAGTAGGCGAAAATTGTTAATGAACTCTGTGTCACTGAAGTGAAGCACATCACCACTCACCACTCTTGGCTACGTCTCCACATCCACACATTCCTTTCAACGGACGTCGCTGCCGCTGTCCAACAAAAACACGGCCAAAAACCTCGTTCTTCTCCTTCTCAATTTCCTCCTTAAAACAAGTAAGTTGTTCATGTTCTGGCTCCATTATGAGAGGAATTTTAAAATCTCCAGGTACTCAATGCTCGCGTCCATGTTTGGACAACTTCTGTAAACACAGAGCACGCTCGCTGCGGTTGACGTCATCGTGTCCTCCAGTGCACATGCGGAACACTTTCGGGCCGTTTAACGTTCATACAGGGGATCGCATACAAGTCGCTTTTAATTGGAAATGTGAATGACCTGGCAAAAACGTTGGATTTCACAAAAAAATCGGAATTGAGCATTAAGCCCTGCTGTCTGAACATAGCCTAAGTTGTTATTATTTACATTAGCACCTTTTTTGATTTTGGTTTAATCTGGATCACCTAGGGGATAAAGGAAGGTAGGACACGTAGACCAGAGTGCACCTGGGTAGGCCTATGTTTTTTTACTAGTCGAATGGAGAGGCAGCAGGAGTAGGCCTTTAACATGTACCCCTCGTTGCTTGCCAAAACTGGAAATAAATCTTGGAACTCAGCTTTGGTCATGGACACTGATTTGTACTGCGTAAACCACATGCCCATGGTGCCCATAGGTGATTATTTGAGTTATGTTTAGTTCTGAGTTTGCTCACCGCTTTTATTTGTTACTTTTATTTGACAAATAGTCACTACACGGCATCATCTACATTTCTTCATGTGTTTTCCATAAGGACAATGTATGTATGAAGCGCAAAATAACTGTTCAAAACACAATCAAACTAGAATCTTCCTCGGCGCATCATCCCCTTTCGCTCTACTGTGCATGTCTCCTGCAGAAAGAGCCTCTGTCCTGTCTGTATCATGTCAGTGTCTTGGAGGATTTCAGCAGATTTCAGGGGGCGGGGATAGGTGTATCGATCAGGTATGAGTGGATGTCTGGCTACTGAAGTCTGAGACGTTTCTTCTTGTCATTTACGCACCTACCTGATTTAACACATACGGGTCATTAAGACGTATCCCATTCACTAATGTTCATTTAGCATCATAACTTATTTTATCACACGGCGATAAACTATTTGAGAGCGCTGACAAAATCGTATGCTAGTGTAACACAGACAGCGCCATTTTCTGCAATCAGCCCGCGTGTATCTGCTGTTTTGCCAAACCATAGACCAAATATATAAATGAACAATGTGCCAAACAAAGAATCCGTCCATATATTCGCTGAATTGTTGTATAAGCCGGTTCAAACTGTGAGAAAAAAGTAGCGGTTTATAGTCCGGAAATTACAGTAACTGGTTGGTCATTATTTGAATTGGATCTGGTGTTTTTCGCCCGCATAATGGGTGCGATGTTGGTCTTAATTTTCATTTAAGTGGTCTTAAAAAGGTCTTAAAAAAGTCTTAAATTTGGGGTAGTCAATACCCTGCAGACGCACTAGAGTTGCCATGAACGCTAAATTAACACTAACTCCTAACTCCTAACACTAACTCCTGCCTCCTAACACTAACTTTTAACACTAACTCCTGCCTCCTAACACTAACTCTAACCTCCTAACCTGTATCTGAAAAACACTCGAGTTAGTGTTAATATTTGAATGAGGAAACAGAGGAAAACTTTTGTGTGTAATGTGTTATATTGATAAATATATGATTGTAAACTGAATGATTATAAACTGTTAAATGGAGTGGCTATATTTTTTTATTATTATTATTTTAATGTCAAAAATGTTTATTTGTGAATTTTGAGTTGTTTACTGTTCTGACAGATGAAAATAAACAAGTGAGAATGGAAAATGTTCATGTTTCATTTAGTTGTGTAATGATTCTGCACATTAATAGTTGCCCAATAATTCTGCACACATAGATTTTCTCCTAAGAAAGACAAAACTTCATTTGTATTATGTAAATATTCAGGTTTGAGGTTTATTCATATTTTGGATTGACCGATGTTAGGTGTGTTGTCTCAAAAATTACTAGCATCAATCAATTTAAATCACAAAAAATGTATTCCCCTTCCAATACAATTCTAATACAGAGCTCTGGGTCAAATTGCTGACGGCCTACATCTGCACAGGACTTACATCAGGCGATCTGAACGCCTACGTTTCCCTCAACCCAGAGATATAAAACAACAGCATGAATATGCAAATAATATGTTGAGCAGGTTCATGCCTTGAATCGTCCTTGAAACGTCTTTGCATTTCTTCTTTGAAGGAAGTGACAAACCCCACTCTGTAAATCACAAAGTCTTATTTAGGTAACGCCAGCCTGGGTTCTCTCCTTAGCCTTATCTGCAAAGAAATGTCCCTAAAAGCACACATCTGTTTCCCATTATTTAGGACACACAGAGTATTACCTTTAAACATTAAACAATGTTCAAACAAATATTTTAAATTCAATGTTTGATATGCACATGTGGTGCAGTCAAGAAACTTCACCACTTGATACAGCCTTCACCGAGAAGAGCACTGTAGTTGTTCAGTTATAAAATGAATCCTCATAAATATGGCTACATTCAGACTGCAGCCTGAAGTGATCCAAATCCGATTTTTTTGCCTCTATGTGACCTGTATCCGATCTTTTAATGACAGTCTGAACGACACAGATCCCATTTTTTCAAATGCGACCCAGGCCACTTGGATATGTGGTCCTAAAACCGATACATATCCGATCTTTTGACATGCAACTTCAGTCTGAACGGCCAAAGCGCATTCATCCGACCTACATGTTATCAACAAGCCACAAACGTCACTATTCTGCGCTGAAGTAGGTGAAAATTGTTAATGAACTCCGTGTCACTGAAGCGAAGCACATCGCCATTCACCACTCTACGTCTCCGCACGTTCCTTTCAACGGACGTTGCTGCCACTGTCCCACAAAACGCCACGGCCAAAAACCTCGTCCTTCTCCTTCTCAATCTCCTCCTTAAAACAGGTTCATGTTCTGGCTCCGGTACGAGAGGAACTTTAAAATCTCCAGGTGCTCAATGCTCGCATCGATGTTCGGACAACTTCCATAAACACAGAGCACGCTCGCTGCGGTTGACGTCATTGTGTCCTCCAGTGCACATGCGAGATACATTTGGGCCATTTAATGTTCACACTGGAGATCACATACAACTCGCATTTAATTGGAAATGTGAACGACCTGGCAAAAATGTCGGATTTCACAAAAAAAGCCGAATTGAGCGTTAAGCCCTGCAGTCTGAACGTAGTCTATGTGACCCAGCAGGCAAAGCCTCTTGTCATCATGACCCCAATTCTTACATTTACTGAAATATCTGAATCTACTGTGGACAGGATCATTTGCAGTCTCAAAAATTCAAGAGCCAAAGATGCATTCGGCTTGGACACCATCTTTTTAAAAAACTACAAGCAATCACTTGTTATGTCAATTACAAATATTATCGGAGTCCAACATGCACCAGGAACAGGTCTGACTTACTGCCGGCAATGAGAACACAGCTCCTGCTCCGGTCATACAGGGACCGGACAGCCCTTAGCAAAGAGCCTCAGACCCCATACTCTGGGAGTATGGGGTCTGGGCCCCCCCCCCCACAGGACACCACGAGGGACACGGTCGAATGCCTTCTTCAGATCCACAAAGCACATGTGGACTGGTTGGGCAAACTCCCATGAACCTCAAGCACCCGATGGAGAGTGTAGAGCTGGTCCAGTGTTCCACGACCAGAACGAAAACCACACTGCTCCTTCTGGATGAGAGGATCGACTATCGGCCGGATTGTCCTCTCCAGTACCCTGGCATAGACCTTACTGGGAAGGCTGAGGAATGTGATTCCCCTGCAGTTGGAACACACTCTACGGTCCCCCTTCTTATACAGAGAGGGGGGACCGGATTTTGCCAGTAATCTCAAAAGTAGCTGTCGTGGCGTCGCTCTGTGCTGTCTCCGTCTTGGTGAATATGTGTTCACCTTCTCTCATCCACTGCTCCCTTGCAGCTCGCACTTTAACTTTATAATAGCCTTGAGTTTAAAGTGGGCGTTGTAGGCGTGTCTCTTGACAGGTGCATTTTGATATTAAAAGGAATCACAGTATGTAAGACACTCAAATAAATTCATATATAAGGTGCTCTGGATTATAAGGCGCGCTGTTTGTGGATGAAATTAAAGGCTTTTAAGTGCATCATATAGTGCAGAAAATACAGTATATAAAATTTAAAAGACCATGGCAGTGTATTGGCCTTAGATGTTGATCCAAAAATAAGCAAAGAAATTACCAAGTTAATTAACTTCAGCTGTGAAAACAAAAGTCACTACTTCAGAAAAACTTGTCATCAGTCCCTCTGACACGGAGGCTGGGATTTCCTGGATTTGACTTCATTGTGTGGCTTCATTTGTCATCATGTATTAACTCATACCAGTTAACATCAGGTTTTCTTCTTTGAAACGATCCAGAGTGACCGCAGCCTCCCTTCATAAATTAACACGGTCTGCTGTATGTTTTGGAGCGGAGTTGGACCCATGAAAACCGTTTGTTATTTAAAATGAAATATGAATACCCTTCTTTAATTACATTTCGAAATGTTTTCTTTTTCAGATCCCACACATGGTCCTGAAGGTAATTTCCTTCCAAGATAACTACAATTTTTAAAGCTTATGTATCTATTCACTTTTTATAACTGAATGTTTTTATATTTTTTACAAAGTACCTGTCCTGTCTACACTTACCACCCCAGGTACTGAACCATCTATTCAATAATACAGAAGCATTTGAGACCCAGCTGACCTTCTGCTCTTGTGTTGCAGTCCCGTCTGTTCTCATCCCTACGGAGTCTTCGTCTGCTCCCATTGGCGGTTGGTTGTTCATCTGTGGAGGCTTGGCACTCTGTGTAGTGCTCCTACTCTTTGGATGTGTCACATGTAAGTACATCTCACAAAAGGAACTCATTTCAACTCAGATTTTTAAGTTTTTTGCCCTTCTTGTTGTGCTTCATTTACAAAACGACACAAAAGGCACATATTTCCACATAGTAAAACCTTAACCTGTTTATATAAATGGACATAGCTAACCCACCAGTTCCAAATAGGATGTGAGCATGGACACGTTTCTTTGGAGATATTGATTGCTTTGCCTAGAATGTTCCACAGTGCTGTCCAGTGATGGGAATAACGGCGTTGAAATATAATCTAATATTAAGGCGTTAATTTTTTCAGTTACAATTACCTTAATTTACGGGCTATTAGGTGCTCTGGATTATAAGGCGCACTGTCATTAAATAGTCTGTTTTTGAACGTTTTTCACAAATAAACCGCACCGGATTTTAAACTAAACACAACAGTTGGATGGGTCAGTAGGACTTGGTTTGGTGCGTTCACAGTGACTCTGGGCTTTGTTCAGTTGTGGCGTGTAGGGAGGGTGCTGTCTGGGACTGCTGGATTGTCGGCGTGTTCGCAGTGACTCAGTTGTTCAGTTGTGTCTAGAAGTGGCACATTGCACTCGCTTTTTCGGTTTGTTCCTCCGTTCCGTTCCTCGTCGGCGTGGAGTGATGAGTGTGGCTGCAGGTGTTTTTCTCTGCGCGGCCACTGTCTGCTCCGTATGTGTTTGCGTGCACTGCGGGTGGTGCAGCTTTGTAGTTTACTGAAGTCGTGCTGGGACACCCGAGTGGATTCATGTATAGGACGCTCTGGATTGTGGGGCGCGCAGTCATTTTTTGATGGGGTTGGAGGCGTAAGAGCGTGTCTAATAGCCCGGAAAATACGGTAATCTAACTAATTACTTTTTCTATTGTTACAACACCGTTATGGTTACAAACACGTGGTTAGTGCGCGTTACTGAAGCTCCTCATCGAAGCTGTCATCTGACTTGGCTCACACGGACACGGCACGGCTGCTCATGTACACACACATGCACAACTTCACTATACAAGCCCTGTCAGGTGCACTGATGTTATGAATAAACTCCGCCAAACATGCGGAAAATCTACTCTTACGTTCAATAATGACTGTGACAGAGACAGAAGTTCTTCGGCTGTCCTCACTCCTCCCCGCTGTTATTATATCCATAAACTCACGGGGGAGCACATATAGGTTTAATATCTGCCTCACTATTTAGTCGATATTTCTGCCGCTGGACTTATTTCTCTGCTAAAGTGTTCTCTCTGCTGTACGACATGTAAACAAACAGCGCGTGATGACGTCATTGGCCATGGCTCACTTCGGTTGTGCAGGTGTGAGTGTGGAACATAGAACCCACAGCAATCGTTCTCAAACTCAGTTACTTTTTGGGAGAAGTAACTATAACAATTTACTTTTTCAAAATAACATGCCCAACACTGACGCTGTCCCTAATTTTTAGTGTCTTAGAAATGTAAAAAAACAGAATAAATTTTTGCAGTTGTCCAAAGCTTTTCCTCACTTACCTTCGTTGCATTCAGAGCTCTGAATTATTCAACATGAAGCGTTTATACGTTTGTTTCCCAACTCTAGAGGCTAGTGCAGAGTTTCACCTTGACTGTACAGCTAACAACATCTAGCATGCTAACACGCACTTCCTGACTATCAGACAGTAAACTACCATAATTAGATGCAGTCCTCGAGAGAGCTGCTTATATAATTATCTGTACTGGCGAAATTTTGTTCAAATACATAGAAAAAATCTGGTCTTAAAAATCTTAAAATTGTTCATTTATGGATATTTTCAGTAGTTCCAGTGAGCAGTGTCCTCACTCCACAGATCTTACCTGAAACGTGATAATCGTGGCATCACCTGTGTGTGCATTGAGATAGATACATTTAATGCCATACTGTGGAACATTCCAGGTAAAGCAGACAGGTGGCAGATCTTCAGCCATAAAACTGATTATTCCTACTTCATTTTCATGTCTCCTCAGACAAAGCGTGTGGTGCCCGCCTCGCCGTGGAATATAAGAAGATGGGCCCGGGGGCGATGGTTCCGCTCGTGCCCGTGCTGGTGGTGTACCCGGCGGGCAGCACGCAGTTCCAGCGGGCGGTGGGCGCTCTGGTGGAGTTCCTGCAGCAGTACGGAGGCTGCATCGTGGCCGTGGACATGTGGCAGCAGGGGAGCGTGGCCAGTCTGGGCCCCATGCGCTGGCTCCTGGAGCAGGTCCAGGCGGCGCGCACCGTGCTCATCGTGGCTCCACAGGTGAGGCCTCCAGGGGCAGAAGACGAGGAGAGGGGGAGGGTCTTTTTAGAGAATATACGTGATAAAAACTGAAGCTACATGGAAAGGCACTGTACCTGATACTGTCTAAAAGAGGAGGTAGTCCACATTTTGAAGCTTGTTCTCTCATCAAAAACACCTGCAGATGTTTTAGAGTCATCCATGTATGTTTGAATAATCTAGTGATCTCTCCTGGGACCTCTGTGAACCCTTCTTATGGTTAGCTGTACAAGCCTGTACAAGGTTCCGCCCACAGGCAGAAGCGGCGCTACCATTAGGTAAAAGTAGGCAGCTGCTTAGGGCCCCTAAACCTGGAGGGACCCCCAACCAATCGCCCTTAGTGCCACTAATGGCTGAGGACTCAGAGCAATTTAATTTTCTCTCAATATAAAAAATAATCCTAAGAAAAATAACAATAATAATCATATGTAATGGATGTAAACAAAAATATAATTATAGTAGCAAAATAAAAACTACGTTCAGTTCTGGTTATGTAGTAGGCGACCAAACTAATAAGACAAGTTTCCAATCCACCGTAATTCAAATAAATAGAGATGTGCAACAGACAATAAATATATTTTAAAGAAGAAACAAAAAAACAGCAGTGCGTTATAGCAACTGCCCCAAACTCAAGTTCACCTAGGGCCCCTAAATTGCTCACTCCATCACTGCCCACAGACCTACGTCACTAATTCTCCAACACAACAACATAACATTCATAAAGGAGTTCAGAAACGCTGTGTCCGCTGTGGCTCCCAGAGATCCATAAATTGTGTTCGGACGACCTCCACGCTGCGGCTCCTCAGTGCCTTTCCCCCCTGACAGAGAACAGGAAATGAAACTCCTGAGTGACCGCTCGCTCTGGTTCTAAAAGTCAATTTTTCATTCATAGACTAAAGTTCAAAGGCATTTCGAAGGCTGAGTAGCTATGTGTCCAAAAAGGCAGTTTAAAACGCAAGATCCTGTGAAATATTTTAATAACTCAGTGATTTATAAAGTTTCAGTAACAGATTTTAAAGAAAATTATAGATCTTGTTTAGTTAACAGTTAATATGTAGCTGATTAGCCCCGAATAAGCTTTTTATTATATTTTTTAATTGGAAAATCTATGAACCCTCTGTTGAGCCCCGTAGGCTTTATTCATGCTTCCGTCACAAACCACGATGTTTGGAAACAACTTCTGATGGGCTCTGAGATAGTAAGTCTGACAAAATCTAGGAAAAATTTGAAAATGTCCCAGTTTTCTTCATCTCCGTGTCATTGTGGCTTTCCATTATCTTCCTCTCATCAACAATTCCAACCAGACCTCAGTTTTCATCAGTTCCCCACTGACACACAACTCCGAGCGCACTGAGTACATGCAATTAAGAACAAATAAGGCACCAAATTCCAGATGATTCCAAACAGCACGTACGTAAGCAGTCTTCATTTTACTGCTGATCACATTTACTTCAGTTTTTTTTTTATCACAGTCGGTTGGTGAGTTCAGTGTCAGGAACTAATGTATTTTTTGGACCCTGAGTCACTCTGGAGTTTGAGTCACATCAGCCAAAAAATGCGTAATGAAGACAAAAAATATATATAAGTTGCACTTTTTGGGGGGAATTTATTTTATAAAATCAGAGACCAGGAACCGACATTTCATTTTGAAAGGCAAATTATAGCGTAAACAACAGAACAGAACAAGTTTACCAAACTCTCCATCTCACTCCAAATCACTAAATCCATTGAATTCTTTATCCTCGGTGTCACTTCTGAGCAACTCCGTGATCTCCGGAGGTAAACAGAACGCCGATTCCTCTGTTGTGTCGCTGTCGTCCGACTCAGCATCAGTTCCAGTTAGAATTATTCCAGCCTTCCAGACTTTCAGGAAAGTTGCATGGTGCATCCTCCTGGTTTCTGTGAAGCTGTGTTCTCCATCCCCGCCTTCCACCAGTCCCTCACAAGTTTTTCACTCACTCTAAACTTTATTTTTGCTGCTAGATTACTGTTTTTGGCTGAATATTTCACCAATTGCAGCAGGACAGCGGCTTTTTCTGCAGGAGACAAGCGCAGTAGAGCCAAGTGACAGTGGTACAGAAGTAGTAGCAGATACTGGCACTCAAGCCTCTCGCGTCCTTTCTCGGCTGTCAGTGTGAAAATTTTAATATATAAGTCGCACCGGAGTATAAGTCGCAGGAAACACCCAAACCATGAAAAAAAGTGCGACTTCTTGTCCGAAAAATACAGTACCTGGGAAGAGTCTGCTGTGTGACAGGCAGTATAGCTCCAACATAAAGATACAGCAGCCTCTTTAGCTCATCTGAAATAAATAAGCGGGATCCCGTTTGTTAAGCGAGGGGTGCAGAAGACAAACAGACTGAGCTCGCACTTTCTTGTTCTTGTGGTTTTACAGCAACATCACGTCTTGGTCGCTTTGCAGTGGAAGGTGTTTCTTGGTGAACAGCTGGTGCCTTTTGCTTTGGCGTTGACTTTTTAAATTCGTAACTGAGATTGAGCGAGCATTTTGATTTGATGGTGCTCCACATACAAAATGTTCGCGGCAAACTCGGGGTTAATTTAGGCAGTCAAAGATTACCTTTTTCGTCCTTCCCGTGGATCAATCCTACCCATCACCTTCGCCTTTCACTATTTTTCAATTCCGTTGGGAAAGGGAAACAGTTTGAACAGAGGTTTGCAGTCACACAGATCTGATTCCCTTTTGCATTTATGGAGTTCACAAACAAATTTCTCGAGCTGTTTTCCGCTGTTAGGATCCAACAACCACACAATTACGATGTCCAAATCCCAAAACTAAAATATGACAATATCAGAACCAGAAACAAAAGCGATATGGTTAAAAAAACTAGAAAAGATCGGCTTTGTCAATAGACGCATCCCACTGGGAAAGCAAACATGGTGGTTTGATGCTCACTTTTTTGGAAAATCCTTTCCAGTATGCACTGCGCAATGACCGGAAGTCCGAGATTCTTGATGCGTGTATTGCCAGTCGATACCTAAAATATTCTGGCTGCATGGTGTCGGTCATGTGCCAGATCATTTTGTTCTCTTGATAGCCTCAGTGTCTCAGTGTTCCATTTCACTGCTGTGTCATGTGAAACATTTTCTTCAGAAAGGAGTTCATGCGGGTTCGTGGTGGTTAGATGTTGGCAGGAACGGTTTGTGGTGTGGTTGAATAAATACTCGCAATGAAACCTTGTTCTTAATGTTTTGCCTGGAAAAATACAGATATAAATTTGAATACATTCCACATTTTGACATGTATAAAATCTAAATTGCCTTAAAGAGTTGGTGTTAGCAAAAATCGACTTTGCTGAAAGAGCTTTTGGATGTCATCCACGCTCCCACACAACAATTCTCCATAAATATACAAAAGCATGATACAAAACGATTAGTGTTGGGAAGGTTACTTTTAAAATGTATTCCCCTACAGATTACAGATTACATACCCCAAAATGTAGTTTGTAACGTAATCCATTAAATTACTTAAAGTGAGTAACGTAATCTGAATACTTTCGATTACTTGATTTGCTGTAGAGAAGCAAAGACTAGAATATAGTAACATAAGAAGTTTTGTCTGCTAAAAGAAAATGAAAAAGTCCAGTCTTTACTTAACCATATTAAAAATATTATTGATAGAAGACGAGGAGACACGGTCCACGCAGCATGATTTACTCCTGTTAAATCCTGTTTGAGACCTGGTTTAGTCCTGATTTAGACCTGGTTCGGACCTGGTTTAGTCCTGGTTGAATCCTGATTTAGTCCTGGTTTGGACCTGGGTCGTACCTGGTTTAGTCCTGATTTAGACCTGTTTTGGACCTGGTTTGGACCTGGTTTAGTCCTGATTTAGACCTGGTTTGGACTTGGTTTGTACCTGGTTTAGTCCTGGTTGAATCCTGGTTTAGTCCTGGTTTGGACCTGGTTTGGTTCTGGTTTAGTATCCGGCAATGAGTGTAATTACCAAAAAAAAAAAAAAAAAAAAAGGATATAGCTCGAAACGTAAAAACAGGAAAATACCACAGTGTAATCCATTTATTTCAACAAAGTAACTGTAATCCAATTATCACTCATTAAAACAGTAACTGTAGCTGAATACAGTTACTCATAATTTGTACTCTGATAACATAACTCCAGTAGATGTAATCTGTTACTCCCCAACACTGAAAATGATATACTGCATCATTATCACGATTATTTTGGTCAATATTGAAATCACAATTATTCAAACGATTTTTTTTTATTACACTATGCATTTATTCAGCATTTCATATCGTCAAAGTTCTCACAATAATATCGTGGACCATCACAATATATCGAATTACAAGTCTCTTTTCTTAAATTAAGAGTTATGGTGCAGCAATAAGTAAAAAAGACAGAGGGAACTACATAGACCATGATCCTTTGCTCCATTTTAGTCCAGACTACATGAAGAAATAACAGTTCTAAGCACTTTTAAGTCTTTGGATTAAGTCTTGTCAAGGCATTTTAAGAGGGAAAAAGTAACATATTAACAGTTTTGTTTGCCTCCACAAAATATCTCAACAAATATCGTACCGTGAGATGTATATCGTGAAAATATCGTAAAGAGAGATTTGGATATTACTACATCTTGAGCCTCACCATTTCGTGAGCTTTCCCATGATATCGCAATAAATATCGTACCGTGAGATTCATACCGTGACAATATCGTATCGTGACAATTGGATATCATTACATCCCTAATAAATTGTAATTTGTTTCAGTAAAAGACAGAAAAACTGCTTAAAAACGACCAAAACACAAAGAAAGTGTGACTGTACTGGCTTATGTTGGTCGTGAATGGGCCGAATGCAAAACTATTTTTATTAATTATGCACTTGTTTCACAGTTTTGATTATTACCAACCGCCATAAACCAAGGGTGTCCCAGTTTTTTTATTTAGAAAATTTAGTCACCCTATCAAAATAAGTTTTAAGTTTGTCTGAAAACTCAAGTCTGAAAAA